AATAATTAAATTAATAAATAAAAAAATTCTAAAAATATATACAAGAAAAATACTACAAATATCAAAAAAATTAAAAATAAAAATGACACTATAATTCCCAACTAGTTTAGGTTTGAAAGGCTCTACGATTATCCGTTTCTACGTTTATCCGTTTCTACGTTTATCCGTTTCTACGTCCATCCGTTTGACCTTTATATCCTTTTATCCGTCGGTTTCTACGATTATCCATTTATTCGTTTGCCCGTCTATGATTATCCGTTTGACCATTTATCAGCTTATCCGTTAGTCCTTTTATCCTTATAAGATTTTAGATCTGTAAAACTACTAGAGCCACCACACTTTGTAGCAACCTTCTTAAACCCTTGAACTTAATGTTAAAATTTGACCACACCCCCCTACAGCCCACACAAATCATAAACAAATGAAAACTACAGCCTTGAAGTTCTCCAGAAATCATATATAGATATACAATCTAAGGTTAACTTTACATGTTATGGCCATAATTTCAAGACAGGACCTTAAGTAAGCAGGATTAATATCATTTGGGTCAAGTTCAGTTAACTGCCTTATCTAGCCTTTTGGCTCTGGAGATTTACTATCTCAACATACTTACTATGTCTATGTCTATGTCCTTCCCTCACCCCCCTCCCCCATATACTATCCTGTTAGATTCAGAGCGCATTTTCCTGGCGCTACGGAATTCCGGAATTTATGGGTCCCCGACAGACGCAGATTTTGGCGCTGGAAGGCAGGCAGGCAACAAACAGTTTACGGAAATTTATGTGGCCAGAAATTTGCACATGTTAATTGCTACAAAACAGCGAAGGGGGGCAGTGCTACGGGGATTGGAGATGGATGCCAGAGGATGCTACTGGAACGACTCCATAACTAACGTTTATACCCCAAGGTCCGCGCTGATGTCCGTCCGCCGTTGACGCCGAGCCATAAAATTTATGGATAAATTATCAAATTTATTTATTTTGCGTTCGTTCTTGGTTTGTGTTTACTTTCAGAGATTTCTTTTACAAATTTTTTAGCTGCAACAATTTTTCATAATTTTGCCGCTGGCATAAATCAACGAGAGAGTGAGAGAGAAGGGGGGGGCAAGGCGGAGGCACATCGTTCTAGTCATTTGTTTTGGGGCAACAGTTTTGCAGTCACCGCACGCAGGCGAAGGCGACACAGTTTCCTTCACAGCTTTCTACCGCTTTCCCTCTCTTGCTCTTTCGCTCCCCGTGTCCCCCCTCCCGTTTTTATTATTATTTTTTTCCTGCCAACAAAAGCAGGCAAGAACCCAGAAGGAAATATGGCCAAAAGGGGCGAAGTGAGAGTGTGAATGTGGGTGAATGCACTCAGAGAAAAATGAGTGTCAAACAAAGGTTTTAATTACAATTTAATTACACTACAATACTAAAAAAAAGGTAATTAAACACTAGCAAAACTAAAAATATTATCAAAATGAAATTAAAGGAAAAAAATTGTATTATTAATTTGTTTCCCTTAATTTCGGCTTAATTTTTTTACATTTTTCGGAGTATAAATGAAATGGTTAAGCACATTTTTTGTTTAAATTTAACCTTAAACCTTAAATTCTAGAATTTAAATCCATCTTTTTGAAAAAAAGAGCTAAATATAGCAATTCAACAAGTTGCAAGGTCACACTCAGCTTTTGAATTTGAGTACAAAATAAATAAATTGTTTTTCTGAATTAAAGAATTCCAAAAACTGATCATTCTACATATAAAATAATTTTTAGATATTTAATAATTTTTTAAGGATAATTATCCAGTTTCTAGAATTATTTAAATCGTTACAAAAATTTCTTGTTCTTAAATTCTTGCAACTAATTCAAAAGTTATACTTCATTTTCTATTAAGAAAACTAGACATTGTTTAGCTAATTTTCTTTCAGTGTCCTCGCTAGGAACGTAAGCGAGCTTGAGCGACGATGTCTGGCACAATTACGACAGCAGCAGCAACAACAACAACAATAAGAACAACACCCGACGGTCGTCGTTCTCGTTGTCGGTTATTACCGTTACTCTTTGGCGTCTTTAATTAAGGCGTGGGCGGGGGCGGGGGCGTTTGTGGGCGTGGGCCAAACAACAATAACAAAAATATATATTTTTATATATATGTTTAATTTGTTTGTAATTAATATGCTGAGGTTTGGCTTTCGCCGGGGCAAAGAATGGTCACATTGAGTATAGAGCGCGGTCACACCGAGGTGGAATTTTGGAAGCGAAATTAACAATAATTAAGAATTTACGCGTTTATATATAAAAATATATAAATATATATTTGTTTTTAATTATCCCTATAATTTAGGTTTTTATTAAAAAAAATTTAACGGTTTATTGTATATCTTTATATTTATGTTAAACATTTTTTAAGTTGTTTTTTTTGCAAAAATGAAATCAGAGCCTTATTTAAATTATTTTAATACAAATTCATAAATATTCCATTGGGATTAATTAATTAATTAAAAATTATAACACTAACTTGGTTTAAGCTGTGATTTAATTTAAGAAAAACCAAAATAAAAGATCACTTTTTAGCATAAAAATAAATAAAAATATATTCCATAATAAATTCTATACTAAATTCCATAACAAATTAAAACTTAAATAATAAATCAACAGCAAAAATAATAAAATTTCTACACATAAATAATTGTATTATTCTTTTTTTTTAATTAATTAAATATTAAATTGATAATAAAAAATTTCAAAATTGCAATTAGGAATTTTATTTATTTATTGGAATTTATTATTTAATTTATTATGAAATTTATTAATTCATTATTAAATTTGTTATGGGGTTTTATTTAGAATTTATCATAGAATTTATCATGAAATTTATTATTTTATTTATTATGGAATTTTGTATAGAATTTTATTTCATTATTTAATCAAATATATAATTTATATTTGAATTTCTTGTGAATTGTATTATTCAATTTATTATTTAATTTATTATTTAATTCATTATGAAATTAATTTTGGCACTTGGTCCTTCACTCACCTGATGCTTGACCGCCGGCACTTGGCGGATCTGCCAACTGTTGCCAAAAGTCAGTGACCGCACTTGTTCAACGGTAAACGCGGACGCGATCGAGCAAGTCCTGTTTAGAGTGTCACCACTAGAGTAACGGTACGCGCGATCCAAGCCCACTTCAATACACACACACACTAACACACTTTTGCACAGCAGCAAAAAAGCCGCACTAACCACTAGTGTTGTTGTTGATGGTGCTCCAAATTGAGGAAATCGGACAAAAGCTGGCGGCGACGTCGCCGCGTGCACGTGGTCTTGGCCTCCGTGCGGGCCATGGCTGAAGGATGAGGTCCGGTCTCCTGCGCGACCGGGGGCAACGGGGCTCGACCACGTTTTCCGCTGGCGCGGCGGCACTTGCAATCACTCGCAAAAAAAGGTGCAAACAAAAAGACAGGCGGCTGGCAACGCACTCGCCCTGGTCACTCGCGGTTTTGGCTGGACTTTAACTAACTATTTAACGCACGGAGTCTCTCAGCTTTCGCGAAGCATCCGAGTGGCTAGGAAATTGGTAAACAACTGATAGTCAAAAGGAAATAGTGTTGCCAGATACAAATTTGCTTTCGCACTTAAATATCTCAAAAAGTTCAAATTTGATCCTAAAAAATCCACAACATCCTGGGAGTAAGCCGAAACTTGAATCAAGCCGTAACTCGAACCACATCTGACTCCATAACCTCTGGTCAGCCATAAAGAGAATAACAGAATGCCAATCAGTGTAGGAGTGTTAAAAATATTTTAAAATAAGTAAAAAAAATGTTTTTATTATGATATTTTAGTATTATATATTTATTTATGTATTTTAGTTTATATTATTAATTTCAGTTCTTAATGATTTCAAGTTAATGTGGATTAGTGTATTCCTTATATTTTTTTATTTATTTTTTAGTAATTTTTATAATTTTTTATTATATTATTTAATATGCTTAATTATTTTTACGTATTTTTTCAGAGCCCAAGTAGTTGCTATAAAAAGATATGGTGGCAAACATCGCTAAAAAATAGTTGCTTAAAATGCGTTTTGAAATCAACAAAAAATTTACAACTATTCTTATTTTATAATTTATATATTATTTGTATTTTTAATTCTTTTTTTTAAGTCATATTATATATTAAAATAAAAAATCTTTTAAAATTGTATCGATAGGAGTGTGCACTCGCTAGCAGTGTTGCCACACCCTAACTCGGGGCCTTGGCAATCTCTAACCGTGCAGACACTAAAGACAGGTGCACGTTTTTATAACGTATTTTCAAATTCCATTTTCCCTTAGATTTAAGTTCATTTCCTTTGGTTAATTTTTCTTTTAACTTTTTTAAGGTTTCTTTAACTGCATTTCGCATCTTCTTACGTTTAAAACAGCGGTTTTTGCGGAGGTTTTCTAGGGTTCATATAATATTAGGTATATTATTATTAAAAATATTAAAAAAAAACCTTTAAAGAAAATAATTCCAACTTACATTTTTAAACTAATATTAAAATAATTTAATAATTATAATAAATAAATTAAAAAATTAATAAATTATGGTATATTTATTTATTTTTATTTTATTATATTTATAAAAAAATAAATAATGGTATATTTAGCTATTTATTAAAAAAAAAATAAAAAAAAAAAGGTGTATTTGTTAATTTTTTATAAATATATGAATATTTATTTATTTAATATTTTTATTAATTTTGTAAATTTAATTTTTTAATTTATTAAAATTATTAGATTATTTAAATAGTACTTTAAAATTTATAGTGTAGAATTATTTATATTACCTTACCTTTAAAACTACAGCTTTGTCCGGCTGTTTCTTGAAATTTCTAGGCCAAATCATGATCAAACCTGATCGTCTTGTTTGGTTTTTGGTCACACTGGCAGGACCTTTCACCCATTCTCTCCATCTCTCTCTTTCTTTCTCTGAAAAAGGACAAGGCACAGGTACACACACACGCACTCGTTTCAAGTTTTGCTAAGGTTTATTCTCGAGTTTTTTGCTTTTCCGAATACACTTGCAATGGCAATGAATGAATGAACGAACGCTTATGCAGCCTCAGCCTCAGAGAGGTGTTCAGGGCAATAACTACTCTAGGTTTTAAATATTATTTATTGTTCTGTTTTTTGTTTTTATTGAGTTTTTTTCAGATGTTTTTGTGGGTTTCTTTACATTTGTTTTTGTATTGTATTTCTCGTTTTTGTATCTTGTTTGCATAATAAATTATAGTTAAATTAAACGTAAAATGTTATCAAGTTAGTAATTTTTTTAAGGTTTTTTTTTCAGGCGAGGGGTGGGTGGTAGAGGAGGTGCTGCTGGTGGGCTTTGTCCAGGGGCGTAGCTTTAAGTGGGGATTTGGGAGGGGGGGTTAGGTTAAGGTCGGTTAGTTGGTCAGCAAAAAAAAAAAGGGAAACGTAAAAGTAAATTAAGAGGAGGAAAAGTGGGAGTAGGGGGGAAATGCTAAACATAAACAATAGGCGCAAACATATTTCTCTCTTTCTCTCTCTTTTCTGCCTTTGTCCCTTTCTTTTATATAAATATATATAGCCAATCGTATATATAGCTTATACAATTAATTAAGTGGTTTTCTGGCTTGTTTTCCGTACATTATTTTACTACTAAAAATAAGTTTCGGCCTTATTTCCAACTTATTGTTTTGCTGTTGCAGTGTTTTTTCTTCTGGATTTTTTCCTATTGGTTCGTATTTGGTTGATGTTTCCAACTCTCAATATCAGCGTCGTCTCTTCCTCGTCTCTCGTCTGTTACAATCTACTGCTTCATCTCCAAATTGCCTTCTACGTCCTCTGTTGAACTTCTCCAGCTTCTCAAACTCCAAACTCCAAGCTCCAAACTCCATCCTCCATCTCCTGCCCTCCGCCCCCCAAAACCAAATCGCAATTTACTTCTGTACCATCTTGACCAGCAGATCGGTGGAGAAGGACTTGGGGCGCTCAATGGGCAGGCCCAGGGCACGGTCCCACACCAAAGAGGCCAAAACACCAAGGGCACGCGACACACCAAACAGCACCGTGTAGTAGTTCATCTCCTTCATGCCATAGTACTGCAGCAGGACACCGGAATGGGCATCTACATTCGGCCAGGGGTTCTTCACCTTGCCGGTCTCAGTTAGAATTGGTGGCACCACCTTGTAGATCTTCGACACCAGCTGGAACAGCTCATCTTCGGGCAGATGCTTCAGGGCAAACTCACGCTGGCAGGTATAGCGAGGATCGGTCTTACGGAGCACGGCATGACCATAGCCGGGCACCACCTGTCCCGACTTGAGGGTCTTCCAGATGTACTCCTTAAGTTGCTCCTCCGAGGGATTATTACCAGCCTCCTTCTGGAGCTTACGCAGCCAAACGAGCACCTCCTGGTTGGCCAGACCGTGCAGGGGACCAGCCAGACCGTTCATGCCGGCGGCAAACGACAGATAGGGATCACTGAGGGCAGAGCCCACCAAATGAACCGTGTGAGCGGAGACATTGCCACCCTCGTGATCACTGTGGATGGTCAGATAGAGACGCATCAGTTCGGTGAACTGGGCGTTGTCATAGCCAAGCATCTTCACAAAGTTGGCCGACCAATCCAGGCTGGAGTCAATCGAGCGGGAACCCTTGCCGCCGCGATAGGTATTGCAGTAAATGGTGGCCGCCACCACGGGCAGCTTGGCAATCAGATCCATGCTGTCCTCATAGACGTACTCCCAGTACTTGCTCTTGTGCACACCATCGGAATAGGCCTTGGCGAACTTGCTGTCGTGATTCAAAGCAGTGACGGCGGCGGCAAATTGCGACATGGGATGCAGGGTGGTGGGCATGTTATTCAACATGGTGACCACATGCTGGGGCAAGGCAGCACGCTCGGCCCACTCCCGGGACAGCTGTTGGACCTGAGACTTGGTGGGCACCTCACCGGTGAGCAGCAGCCAAAAGAGACCCTCGGGCAGGGGCTCAGTGCCACCATCGGCGGCGGGCAAAACCTTCTGGCACTCGGGAATGGAGAGGCCACGGAAACGGATACCCTCGTCGGCGTCCAGCACGGATGTCTCCGTGACCAGGGCCTTGATGCCGCGCATACCGCCATACATCATATCGATGGTGGTCTCGCCCATCTTGGTGGCACCATGCTGCTTGCGGAAGTTCTTTACGCGCTCCTGCTCCTGGGGCACCTTGGCGGCCAGAACGTCGCGCAGGCTGCGTCCATCGGCGGAAATCAGGCGGACATAGGCTCCCACATTGGGCAGTTTCTGGAAGGGGAAAAGGGGAAAATTATTAGGATTTTTTATTTAAGAATTAAAAAGGTTTATTTATGTATTTTTTATATTTTTATTTTTATATTTTCCCCAAAATATCGTTACAAAAACAAAAAACAGGCTTTTAATTAGGAATTACAACTATTTATTAATTCTTTATATTTATTTATTTTTTATATTTATTTTTTTTTTAATTTATTTATTTTTTATATTTATTTATTTTTTATATTTAATTATTTTTTATATTTATTTATTTTTTATATTTATTTATTTTTTATATTTAATTATTTTTTATATCTATTTATTTTTCAAAAAAAAAATCTACAAAAAAACAGTTTTGAGATTTTTTTAGGAATTGTATATTTTCCCAAAAAAAACAGTTTCCTAAAATTTTTAATTATTTTTAGTTTTAGTTTTCCTTTTTAAATCCTTCGAAATTATTGAAGATTTCTGTAAAATCTGACAGCTGACATAAATAATCACCGCTAACTCGCTAATATCTGACAGTTGACAGCTAACAAGCACTTCCGTTCAATGTTATCGATAGGCAATCGGCTTGCCATTGAACGGGACTTTCAAGTACAAGGCAAACAAACACACGCATGTGTATGACTCAGTTACAGTGGTTATAAGTCAACGAACTATATAGTCCCCCGGGGGGAACTTATTATTATTATTAAATTAATTAATTAGGCTATTAATTAAATGTATTAATTGATAAAAAAAATAAAATTTAAGAAGATATCGAAAAATCTCTAAAGATGCGACTAAAAACATCTAGATTGACTTTATATAAGGAATATAAGAGATAAGAGTCTCGTAAGCAAGTTGTTTAAGCAGTGTTCTAAAATCTTTTCCATTGTATATCCCAAAAAAAATTCTCAAAAATTAGAATTGACTAGATTGACTTGTCTGGTGTATCTGGTCAATTATTAAACTATAAAGAAAACCTTAAAATTTAATTGAAAATTTAGAGCAGTGAAAAATATACATAAAAAAATAGTGGTATTATATTTTAAATTCTCCTCCCCCCTCACACAGCACGCCCCTGTCTGATCTTTGCCACGCGTTGGCATTGTGTCAAACGAAAAAAAAAGAAAATAAAAACGAAACGATATGGAAATGGAATTCCGAGCTTGCGATTCCAATTCCGCGCAAAGTGCGATTTTATTTTTGATTGACAGCCCACAAGCCAGAGAGGCGCTTTTCTTTTATTTTTGTTTTTTATTTTCTGGTTTCTCTGTTCTGTTTTTTCTGGTGGCGCGTCGGCCACTGGGTCAACAAATTCAATTAACCAAGTGAACTTGTGGCGCCTGCCTGCAAACTTGAATTGCATGATTTGCACAATGATTTGTGACACACAAACCGGTTTAGTCCACTACTGTGTATATCTCCCCCCTTCCCCAACATCATCAAGTACCAAAATTCATTGATAAATCGTTTTGGCCCCATCATCGTGCATATTAATTACCGATAATAGCCGGAGTAAGGAGCCAAAGAACGGGTTGTTGTCGCCAACTGGTCGGTTGGTAACCGCAAATGCCGCTTTTTGTTACCGCAAGTGGTTGCACTCGCAAAAAAATAAGGCACAATTTTTGAAGGGTAAATAAAAATATTAATTATATTTTAAATAATTATACTCCCTAAAAATATTTAATAAATATGCAAGTTTAAATATAAACAAAGCTGGAGTTATAAAAGCAAAACACACACAACGCCTGGCTTTGTTTGTATTTTTATTTTTTTCATTACAATTTTTTTTTTTCTTTTAAAGTCTAGACTTTTTTATTGTCGTGCTCCAAGCTTAACTGTTTTTTTTTTTTTTGTTTTTAATTTGTAAAAATTTCTTTATAAAAAATATTTTAAACATTTTTTATAAAATTTAAAGTATTTATATGGATTTCTGTTTAAATTTAGAAGAAAAATCCTTTTCTTTATACATATATTTAATAGACTTTTTTATAGTGTACTTGGAAAATTTAGATATACATTTTTTTTAATATTCTAATTATTTTTTTTAATATTAATAATTTCAAATATATAAAAACCAAAAATTAGCAAAGTTTTTATGATTTTAAATAAATAAAAACTTGTCATATTTTTATAAACTTTTTTTTAGAGTGTACTTTGGTCTAAAATTGAAATATATACAATTTTTTATCAAATATAATTCCAAATATATTAAAACCAAAACCCAGCAAAGTTTTTATGATTTTAAATTATGAAAAAAATCTCTGATAACTAATAAAACTTTGCTTTTTTTAATATACTATTTTTTAGAGTGTACTTGGGTTCTGAAATTGGAAACCTAAGCCAAACCAGCAAAGCGTCGTTTTGTTACCTGGTGCCATAAAAAATAAGAAAAAACAAATCTTACATATAGTATTTCCCCCAAGAAATCTACTAATTGAGCCGTCAAGTGTGCGGTTTAAGGGTTAGGAGGGGCTTGCATAACACACACTCCTTTAAAGCACAACTATGCCTTAGCTTATTTAGCTCTATTTTTGGGATATTCTCGAATATTTCGCTTAGGCATTTCAAGTTCAGTTCGGCTTCAGTGCGTTTACATTTGTATATAATTTTTCAAAAGCCGCCTCTCGTTATCATTATCTGGCGCTGAGGCGCCCCCGTTCATCTGCTGATAAGACCCCACGACTATGGCAAATGGATTTCAAGGTCTCACGCGCCGGCAATTATCGCATGTCTAACTAGTCTAGTGGGGGAATTGTCATCAAGGAAGGCGGCAGCGACGATTGGAGTCAACCCGACTTCCTTTCAAGCGCTTCCAGCATCTCATCCGATCGGATTAGATTATACAATCATTGCTCCGAGAGAAGCTTGGTAGTGTGTGCGGAAAACCCGGGAAAGCCTCACGCCACAAGGCACAGGCAGAGTTGTCATCGAGGTGAGCCGCCGTTGACCCCGTCTCAATGGATGTTGTACTCAATGTGGAGATGGGAAACGAATGTTTTTACCCTCAAAGTACAGTGATCTTTGGCTAAAAGGGAAGTCTTGTGGAAAATAAAGTAAGAAGCTACGAATTTATATTAAAAATAATAATTTAATGATCTACTAAACCTCCTTTACATTTCTAAAATAAGAAAATCTTAAATTTGAACAAGAAATCTAGAGATTTTAATTTCCTTATAATTCCCAACTGGTTTTTTGGCTTGGTTTTTAGAGCTATTTCAAGGCAAAATTTTAGTTAAATATTATTTGCAAGGATTCAAGGACTTTTTTGGTACCTTTCAGGTCATAATAATAATTTCAACAATTAATTAATGAATCCAAAAATAATATTTTCATTTCCTTATAATTCCCAACTGCTTTTTTTGGCAAGGATTTAAGAGCTCCTTTAAAACAAACTTTTAGTTAAACATTATTTGCAATGATTCAAAGACTTTTTTTTTATACTTTTCAAGTATATTAATTTAAAAATTTCTAAAATTATTTAATAACAAAATAAATATTATAAAATTAAAGCCTTCATGGTCCAGCAATCACTGTAGATCAATTGCTGCTTTCGGTTTTTTGTTTGGCATTTGGCATGATCATCACGAAAAACTGTTTGATCTCGGTTTAATAAATGAGAGGGATATATATACATAGATATAGAAGGTTCTGGTTAGAACCTTGAATTGTTCTCCTTGCCTAGCGTGACGTTTTCAATTTGGCTTGGACTTTTGCTGATGATGATGATGATGATTTCTGTTGACTGTCAGTCAGTTTGCTAATAATTGCAGTCCGAGTTAATCGTCTTAATTAAGTTTAGTGTTCTCTACTCATTGGGTCTCTCTCTCTCTCGCCTAAAGTAAACACAATCGTACAATCGTCTCGCATTGAAAGTACCGCGTGACGTAATCCCTGCCACTCAAACTGAGGTTCGGATTGGATTGTGAGACTGTTGCCGGGTGTAATTTGTATCTTTTGGTAACTTTTTACAATTCTGACTAAGCCAGAGATCATAATAAAACCACTAGCGGGAAATCACAATGAGTTGAGAACTGGGGAAAGGGTTTCGAAAGATTATTTTTAAATCCTACTGATATTAAAAGGAAACCACAACTATTAATCAGACTAAAAATTTGTCATAATCCAGTAAAAATTATATAAAACAAATTTCAAGCTTAGAGTTCCAGATCAAATGAATGGCATACTAAATAATAATGTCACATGCAATACCTCATTGATTGTATAACAACAGAAGGTACTAAAGTGTACACAGTTATATTTTATTTACTGTTTAGCAGATGTCACTAATTCTCGCTAATGTTTCGCCACATCAATCACTTCTATGGCGCCAGATACAGATACAATTTGTATCTTTTAAGCTGGCATTATTCGGTTCTGTTATCGAAGGACAAATTTTGCCAGTTGCGCATTGCGAAATTCCACTGCCTAAATATAAACACAAATATATACTTTTTTTTTTTTTTTTGGCTGTTTATCAAAATAATAATAATAAACAGGAGGGGAGGGAAAAAGGGGTAAGAGCTGATTGAGTTAACACCTTTATTTTCGCAGCAGGGGGCTTTGCGTGTCCCCGGCTAGCAGCTATCAGCGATATCAGCGACGTCGTTGTCTACCGATCATGTGCCCAGCAGCAAATTTGTCACGCTTATCAGCCCAGATAGACGGGGTCTATAGGTATATACCAACAAATATAGTATATATATATATATGTATATTTATTCCATATATAACATAGTTGTGGCGAAAGAACAAGGCACGATCAAATAATTATCAGAGACTGCACGCAATTCTAATATTTCCTTATTGATTTTGATCATAATCTAAAAAGGAATTACATTTAAAATGTAAATTACGATAAGTATTTAAAAATAAGGACTTAAGTTGAATGAAATCTGTAGAATTTACAAAAAACAAATAAATAAATTCATTAATTAACTTCAACATATAAATTATATAACAAAATAAGGCTGAAATGCATTATATTAGAGCCAGATAATCCCTGTATATTAAACAGTTTATCTAAACACATCTAATAAATGCTATATTAAAAATATAATTAAAATATTATAATTACTATAATATTTGTGTACAAAAACTATAAAGCGTGTTCATTTTATTTAATTATAATAGCTTTAAACAGTGTTTTTATATATTTCACTATAGAGTTAACCCCCTCAACTCACATGATCCTCCCACTAACATCATTATAAACCCCATCGAAACGATGATTTCGGGCATTTTTTTTTGCTTTATCTCGAAAGCCTCAAAATTTCCATGACGCCTGCCGCCGCCCCCTTATCTATACTAGGCCCAAACCGTGAGCATAACATTTCAAGTTCTGGTAAAAAAAAAACAAGAACAAATGGTAATCCCGCACACTGCCAACAACAGGTGGAAATTGTGCCCACTTGAGCTTTGATCAGGCAGCCAATAAAATCTCGATGTAGATTTAGATTCCTCTAATCAAGCCAAGAAAAATATATATGGCCGTAAAATTTAATGTGTGGTGTTAGCACGTAGTATCAATTATGCATTTGCTGCTGCTGCCTGCTCTCTTATGCAATCGCTTGATCAGCTGTTAACGTTAGTTTTCTTTTTTGCACGCCCTCTCTTGCCTTTCACTCTCCACTTCTCTCAGTGGCCACTCTCTCTTTATTTGGCTTTTCGGTGTTGTTGTTGTTGTTGCCGTTATGGCAAAAAGGGCCGTGGGCATATTACGTAAGCAACGGGCGCACGAATTGTGACGTATTAGCAGAGGGGCGATAAAATATTTCGCGTGTTTGCCATTTCGTCAAGCTACGTCAAAGGCAACAAAGAAACATAAGAACAAAAAAAAAAATAAATACATTTGCTAATTTCTTTGGATGAAATATTTACCAAACAGAAAAACACAAGATTTTTTTTGCTAATTAGTTGCTCTCTTTTTTAGCAAAAAGGCAGGCAGCAAAAACTTTGTGGTTAAAAGTACACAACAAACAAATTCTGCTAATTGCCAAAAACCGCTTGCAATTTAACATTTACAGTAATTATTTATAGGCAAAAAAAAAATTGACACATACACACACAATAATTTACATAAATAAAACGCCGACGTCAACGCTCTTTTTCGGCGTTGGCAAGCCGCCAAAGAACAAGAAATGGGGAGTGTGCATAACATTTGGCAAGTATAGGATATACACGGAGAAAAATTACATTGAAGTGTAGTTGAAAAAAAAAAAAAATCAATTAAGATTAAAAAACAACGTATATATTTCTGTGTGAAATTGTTTTCAAATTATTTGTAACGTGTTTCCAATTTAATTAATAAAATATTTGTAGCCGTGTAATTATTACTCAACAAATGCCGAAAGAGCGAGCACCACCGAAAACGCTCTCCCGCCCTTTTAGCCTCTCACCGCATTTGTAAGCCTCTCTGCTCTCTTGCTCCAAAAAAGGAGGCTCGTCCTGCAGGCCCTTTTTCGCGCTTGTGTGCATGTATGTATGAAATTAGGGCCGCGAATTTGTATGGATATTGATTTTTCAAATTTTCTTTTCTTTATTTTTGCCGTTATGCAATCGGCCAAAGTGCCGCCCCAAAATCGGAAAACAGACGGATATGTATGCAAATATGCACCGGCAGTCAGTGTGGTGGGTGGTGAGTGCTCCTCCTTTTGCTTTAAGGTCATTCGGCGGACACTTCTTTAGGAAAGAGAGAGAGCGTATTTTCCTTTTTTTTGGCAACAACAACACGTGACACGCATGGGAAACGGAACGCGAGAGCAGAGAGAGAGGTAGACTGGAGAGAGCCAGAGTGGCTACCTGGGTGAGAGAGGGCCAACGCCGTAGCATTGTTGTTGTTGTTTTTGGCTTTGTAACCTTACAAGAATAAGGCCACAAAACTGAGATTCTGGCAAGCCGGACTTGTGGAAATTTACCAAAAAAAATGAAGACAAAACGAGCCAAAAATCCAAAAGCGAGGCGGATGAGTTCGTTAAACTCAAACGAACGAAAAGAGTTTTATTTTTATTCCGCGCAGCGCGAGGAATCCGCCGTTGCCAAAATAGCCAGGCGAATTTCGTCTCATTTGCTTTTAGTGATTATGTAATGTATTAGATAGAACATACCAACACACTCGCACACTTATCAGCGGCCAAAAACAACAACAGAAACAATAAAACAGCGAATAAAGTTTCTTAATCGCAAGCACATGGCTGAAATTCTTTTTTTTTTTTGTTGCGTGACGTGTAGAGTTTGCAGAGTGAGAGAGTGTGTGTGTGTGTGTAGAAGAGCGGCTTGAGAGGGAGCAGGATAGCGAGGAAGAAGACACAAGAAGATGGTAACAACAAAAGAAACGACACACTTTACAGTTATTTGAAGCTGGAAACAGTAACGAACGCGTAGGGAGGATAATAATAATATTGCTGGCAAGTGGTGGGGGAGGAGGGGAAACCCAAAAGGAAATACCCGGAAAAGGCAGAAAACGGAATAACTCACCTGTGCCTCGGCCAATTTACGGGCGGAAATGCGATAGAGCGACATGGTAATAATTACGAATGCGGCTCTTTGGGAGGAGAAGAAAGAAGCGTTAACACTTTCGCCTGGCAGAAACCTCGCACTGACACACACACAGAAAAAAATAGCCTTTCCCCAGTGAAGAGTCGACTTGCTTTTAGGAAGTGTTCTTGGCTGAGCGAAAAGATTCTTTCTCTTCTAGCAGCTGCGCGGCAACTAAAACGGCCCGCCAAGCAGAGTTGCCAGATGGAAAATGTTGCTTTCCGCCTTAAAAATCTCAAATTGGTGGAATTTCCCCCTAAAAAATCCCAATTCGAACCGCACGCCCACGCACATACCGCAAAAGTGGCGCTTGATTCGAACCGACTTGCCTGCTTTTGCTCCTCAATGGTTTTTGGCACTGCCTCCGCCTGAGCCTGGTTCGGTTCAGTGGCTGTGACATCCTTCTTGGACAGCAGGCGATGGAGCGTAAACCCCTTGGCGTCCCAGATGGACTTCTTGGCCAAGCTGCGACGCTGGCACTGGAGGTGGGCGGCCGGCAAGGCGCTGGCAAAGCGTTGCGAGTACATGTCGCGTGTTTTTTTTCTTCTTTTTGGCCAAAGTAAAGCTAACTGTATTTCACGTTGCAAGTGTCGGGAAAGAAAAACTAGGCATGAGAACAAGTTGACAATTTTGACGTTGTTTGCAAGAGGAGTCGATTTTGTTAGTATTTTATTGAACTCTCCAGTTCCGGTATTTTTTAGTGAATTCCAAGGCTGCCCTATCTGGCAACTCTGTCGAGTGTTATGCAAAACTAACACACAATTTCCCATATTTTTTCTTTTCTCGTCGAGTTTTTTTGCCCGTGTAAGTTTTATACTTACTAGGAAAGATGAGGCCACTAATTGGTTCTACTTTGCAGGTGTGAGAGTGCCACCATGGCGACGGCCGTGCCGCATATACCCCCGAAACAGGATCTGCCACCGCCGGGCGGCTACAAGAAGATCCCCTTTGCCCGTGTGCCGCCCAAGAGCTACTTTACAGGTGAGTCCAGCTGGTGTCCCCCGAAACCTAGACCCCTTTCTGATCCTGGTTTATGTTGCTTCTCCTTCGTAGGCTTCACCATGATTGGCACCTATGTGGCAGTGACTGCCGTGGGCCTGGGCATCTATTACCTGACAGCCAAGAAGGTGAAACGCGACGAGATTGAGATGCGCTCGGCCCAGAACGTGATCTTTCCCATCTTGATAGCGGAAAGGGATAGGGAATTCCTGCGCCAGTTGCGTCGCAATCGGGACGAGGAGGCTGAGCTGATGAAGAACGTGCCCGGCTGGGAGGTGGGCACCTGGTACGGTGAGCCCGTGTTCAAGACTTTGCCCGAGGATACCCTGGTCACGCCCATCTTCAAGGAGTTCTATGCCCACTCGGACTGGAAGTCCTATGCCAAGCGGGCCCACCTCAAGCTCTGGTCTTAATCCTGTGCAGGAAGTGGTGTAGCTAATGCTTAACTCTATTCTAACAACTATTGTGAAAGCCCGAAACCCTATTTTTTTTTTGTTTGTAGACTCGGCTAAGCGCCTCTCATTAGACTCAATTACAGTCGTCAAGGATTGGTGTTGAAATGGGAACTAAAAACTGTGTATTTTGTGTATAGTGTTGTGCTGTGGTGTGTAGTGGGTGGTTTTGGTGGCTGCTGGTCGGAGGAGGCAGGAGGAGGATGACCCAGGAAGGGGTTGCCAGATGGCCAAGCATTTGGCAGTGCTCAAAAATGGCCAAAATTTTGAGAAGCAGCAGCCATAGGGGGATTCCCATTGGGTGGAAAGGGGTAAGTATGTTTATATTTATATATTTTATGTATATATACATTTTAAAAAGATTTTTTAAGAGCATAAATAAGCATTATCTCAAACCCAAGTTCATTTTCCACCAAAAACAGGCTTAAAATCAAAGGATTTTCCTTAAAAAAGTGGCATATCCTTGCAAAAATGTTACAATTTTGTCAAAATCAATTCTGGATTTTTAAAGATATTTTTAAAAATATTTTCTAATGATATTTAAGGATCATAAATGAAAATTCTATCAGATCAAGTTCATTTCCCACCGAAAACAGGCTTAAAATTAAAGGAATTTCCTTAAAAAAATAATATCCCTTCCAAAATTTTATAATTTTTATAAATTCCAAAATTAATATTTTTTTTCGTGTTTTATATTTTTTTTTATTGAATTTCAACATCAATTTGTCGCTCAGTAATTAATTTTGCCAGCATTTCTTTTTTTTTGGGTTTTTTTTTTTTGTGGGGATTAATTATACATTTACCGGCTTTTTAATGTTAATTATATTTATTTTAAAAAGCAAATTATACATTCTATACACTTTATCGATCCAATAATCAATCCTGCTGGCCACAATCTGAACTTGAAACAAATATATATTTATATTTAGGTGTAGTATAATTAGGTAAAAAAAAAGGGGGAAATTGAAACGCGTGTCCTTTGGAATAGTTTGCTTTTGGGGGGGCCAGCAGCTGCTCCTAATCCTCCTGCGTTCCTCCCATTTAAGATGTAAGTGTAAGTTTAAGTGGTCCTTGCTGCTCGCTCTATTCCGCCTGATACGGCTCATCGTGTTGGTGGTGCGCCTACTCTTAGCCATCCTCCTCCAGGTCCTGCTTCTACTCATCCTCCTCCTCCTCCTTGATAACAACGTAATGGACTGGCTCTTCTTGCCACTGACCAGGACGCTGCTGTGGCCGCCTCTACTTCATATCCCGACGACGCTTGATGCTGCCATCGCAGGTGGGCAGATGACGCTGCAGGAAGCCCTCGAAGACAAACTTGCGGCCGCAACGACCGCAGCTAAACTCACGCTTCTCGTCCACCGTCTGCTTGTGCTGGCGCAGTGCCTCCGCATTGGAGTACTTGTCCCGGCAGGCATCGCAGGCATAGCGACGCTTCACCTGGCCAACGTCAAAGACCACCGTAAAGTTCTGTGTGCAAAAGGAGCAGTTGAACTCTTTGACCACCACCTTCTTGCCGCCATGCTGGGCGGACATGGCGACAGCCTCTGCCTCCAGCTTGTCCTGATGCTTGTGAGCATCAATGTGCGCCACATATTTGCTCTCCTCCACAAATTTGCGATAGCAGCGAGTGCAACGGAACGGCTGCTCGCCCGTATGCCGCATCATGTGCTCCTTGAGGTAGGCCACCGAATTAAAGATTTTGCTGCACACTTTGCATTTGCGATCATCGGCAGAGACCTCGTTGCGTTGGCGGAGGCAGGCACGCATGTGCAGCTTCAGGGAGCCGGCGGCACTGTAACAATTGCCACAATTTGGACAATAGAAGGTCTTGTTGCGGGCATTCGAATCGTGGTCGGCATTATGCTCGAGGGTGCCCTCAAATACAATCGAGGCCACGTCCTCATCGTCATCATCCTCCTCCTCCTCGCCTTCGATCTCCTCATGCTCCACGGGCACAATCTCATCCAGTTCGTCATCATCGTCGACCTCTTCGCCTTCCTCATCCTCGTCGATCTCCTCCTCGCCATCGTCGTGGTGTATATTGCCGGGCACAATGTGCAGAATGGTATGGGTGCCATCGCCCTGCTCAATGGTTTCCACCTCCTCGACGGTGGTGTTCTCCACCAGCTGCTGCAGGGTTACAGCATGACCGTTCTCATCGATGATCACCTCCTGGGCATTGGCCAGAGCCTCGTGATCGCGGTCGCTTAGCGTTACCACGGCGGTCTCTGTATCATCATCCTCGCCGGTGGTATAGGCATAGGTGTACTGCTCCTCCTCGCCATCGTCGTGCTCTTGGTCCTCGTGTTCCTCGTGCTCCTGCTCATGGGCCTCGACCTCCTCCTCCTCCTCAACGTCATCGGGATGGATGACAACGGGCACATCCTCCTGCTTTACTTGCGTATACTTGACTCGCTTGGCGTTCATCCTAGCAAGCTGTGGTGTGCGCTGGTGTCCGTGTCTGTGGAAATTATCCTTGTTTGGCGTTTGACGTGTGTAGTTGTTGGGTTTTTTTTCTTTCGTCGCCGCCGCCTCCTTGACAGCCGCCCCTCCTGCCCTACGACAGCTACTCGCCTGCTTACCGCACACTGGCTTGCCGTCGCTCCTGCTGCTGCTGCTGTTGCTCCTCCACGGTTTTGTTTTGTTGCGGCTTTTGGTGACTGCTTTTGGCGCGTACAGCGGGACTCCTCTTTTTTGCCACAATAGTCAACACTGCAATCGCCTTTCCTCGCGAGATCGGGTAGTTTCTTTTTTATAATATTTCACGTTGTGGCAACTTCGGCCAAGATGGTGGACGCTGGGCTGCAATTACGGCGTTATCGATACCAGCTATCGATATAGCCAGAACAGCGGCGAGTGGTTTTTTGCTTCGGCAAACGATTGCTTACCATTCGATATGTGCCTGTATCGATAGGTGGGTATCGATAGTGCGCTGGCAGAGTGGCAGCGCCGTTAGTTTGGATCGCCACGTTTGCCGCGCATTTTTGTTATTAAATCTTTTTAATATTTGTTAAGTGAATTTATAGTTTACAGGATTTTCTTGTATAGTAAAATTATACCTCAACGATTTTTAATCGTTTTTATATTTTTAAGAACATTATAGAGGCAGATGGCTACGTTACAGGGTATACTAAATTCAATAAATTTATGAGGATAAGGGTTACTGTATAATTAATAAAACATTTTAAAGCCGTAAAACAGCTAATTTATTTATATCGATAATTACATTATTTAAATTTTTTAATAGTTTAAAATAATTTTGAACAAATTATACTTATTATAAAAAATTTTGATTTTGATATTTTTAGATTTGTGTTAGCTTAAATATTAAAAAAAAGTGTAAATAATTTTAATTTAATATTTTAACCTTTTAGTTGTGAATTTCAAGTGTTGAAACGATTTAATTCTTTTGATAGTTGTATCGATATTCGATAGTTTTATGAAAAAGTGTTAGATAGGGTGGCAACTGTACTTCGTTTTTAGGGGTTTGGCGCGCATTTTAAAAACAGGATATTTGTTTACAACTAAAAAGCCATTTAAAAATGGCCTAGTCTTTATTTTGTTTGCTATATTTTTGTAAAAATAAATATTTAATTGATTTTGGACAATTTTGAAAAGTCTATCGTGGTAAGATCTCTTTTTTCAGAAAATTTTCTATGGAATCCCCCCTTTCCTATTATCAATTGAATTATATACAATTGTTTTTATATTTAAAAATAAATATATAGAAAATACTCGGGTGAAACCAGTTCTTAATGATAAATTATATTATATATTATGTTATTATTATTTTTTAAATTATATTTTTTATATTTAAAAATAAATATATAGAAAATACTCGGGTGAAACCAGTTCTTAATGATAAATTATATTATATATTATTTTATTATTATTTTTTAAATTATAGATCGAAGCAAATAAGTACGCCAGCTTCAATCTATAATTAAAATATTAAACGAATAGTATATATCTTAAACAAAGCTATATCTATGCATGTGAAGCCCCCTATTTGCAGTTTTATAAAGAAAACGACGTGACCTGCGGCGAAGATGAAGATGTCAGAGAAAAACCCTCGCGACCATTTCCCCCACTTGTCACGTCGCCAAGCAATTTTGGTCTCGGGTGCGATCAACGGTCACTAAATAGCGCCTCAAATCTAAAATTAGAGCTACTATATATGTATATATATGTGGGGAAATGCAATGAATGCAAAATAACCTATTGTTCGAGCTTTTCCCCCCGTCTTCGTGGCATTCGTCACTTCTTGACAATAAAACAGCCTTGAACCAATTATCGACGATTGACGACGATCGACGGAGATGTCGGAAAAGCTAAACTGACTCAGCGGCGATTGCCAATTGATTGAGCACTAAACGAATGCCCGCATCTGTGAATGGAAAGTTTTTTTTTTGTCGGTTTTAAACCCTCAGAATGCGGATATAGCCAGTGATATATTACCCTAGGTATATTTATGTATACTTTAATGACATATTTTAAGGTAATTTTTCGTAATTGTGAAGAAAAACAATTAACTTTAAGAGATTTAACTTAAGTTTAGTTGTAATTCTATATTTGAATTTAATTTTTATCTATGTATTTATAATAACTACAACAAAAAAGGGATAAAATCCCTAAACTAATTAGTTGTTTAAATAATTATTAATTTTTTTATTGCCTTTTTAAATCAATACAAATTCCTTAAAAATTCGCTTTACGTAAACACAGTTTGCTAGAGGGTTAAGAGGGCTAATGACGTACTAACTATTAGCGCCTGAGCTTCAAGATGTGCAAGTCCAGAGGTCTGGGGTACTACTATGTTACCACATTACTATAGCTATTATAGTTGCTATATTTATATACACGTATTCAAGTTCAGTTACCCATCTAAACTAGTAATTGCTAACGTGGCTATCACGTTTCCGTCCCCCGACAAATTAATGGTAATTACATTAGATCATACAAATCGGTTGTCTGGTTATTCGAATTTCCATTTCAATTGAAACTATCTTAGAACCTACTATATATAATTTTTTATGAAGAAGTGCAGTGCATATTGTCTGATTATCAAATTGCGGTAGGTTTTGGATTGGATGCAATTACCATTATCGCGAAATTGCCCCCCAGATAAAGCTTTGAAGAGGGGAGTACGGAAGCAGAGGGAGCAGAATTCTACGGAATTGGAGTCTACGTAAATGAGTAATGGACTTACATAAGGTGCCTCCATAGATGAAACTTGGGGGTTTCGGAATGAATCTGGAAACTTCTGTGTTTTACTCATTTTTAAGATTTTTTTTAGAAGATTTTCTAAGGGATGTGGGATTTAGTTTTGAACTTTCTATCAAAATATTTGTACATTTTCCCTAAAATCTGTTTTAATTTATTTTTTTTTTATTATTTTTTTTTGTTAGAAATTAAAATTTAGGTGTCTAGTTTTTAGTTATAAACTTTCTACTAAATTTTTTGCTATTTTTCCCTAAAATCTGTTTTAATTGATTTCTAAAAATAATATAGAATAATACGGATGTATTTGAAAATTTCAAAAATTCCAACTTGATTGAATGGTATCGTTTCTAAATTGCTTTCCCATGCATCGCACTTTTAATTTAATGATTTTTATTTATAAATGTATTGTCTCAATTTAATTGAAGTCTCCGAACATTGAATGCATACGAAATGGTTTCTGGAAATTTCTGGTAAAATCAGCAAATTGAATTGTGAAATGTGTGTATTTAGGACCTTTTAGATACCCTAGAAGAACAGCTGTGCAAATTGTCCATATATAATATATATTATTTACTACAAACTACTACTCCACTGCTTTCATGTTCAAGTGCTTTTTTCCTACCAATTTTGCGTCATTTTGTAATTTTGTCATTTCACAATTGTTGGTTCCCCTTCAGTCCCTTGGAAGAGAAGATGGTATCTCTTTTCTCGTTCTTGTTCTCGTTCTCCCTCTTATCGATCAAATTCACTTGACGCAGAGCAGAGGTTTTTTTTTATTTAGCCCCATGCAACAGCTGTTGGCAGGGGGGTTTTCTGGAAGGGTGGTGGGGGTTTAACTAAAAGGGGTGACACGCAATCAAAAGACCCTCATTCACGAATGGAAATTTCCACTGCAATTTTTTTTCGTGTAATTGAAGCGGCTTCCCTTAACCCACCAGTGACCGAAAGTGTTATTGTTTTCTCCCTTAAAATATTTAAATTGCTTTTCTTTTATTTATTATTCTGCAATTAGCCTGTTTTAGGGTGTAACATAAGCCAAATATAAGCATTGCAATTACACCGTAACACTTGGATTTTTCGAATTTAATTGATTGAATCCAAGGGAGATTTTCACTTTTTGGCACACACACACCCACTCACCCAAAAGCCAGCGCACCTGAACGACCCCCGTGGGCATGCATGGGTTTAATTGCACCACTCTCTTTTGCTCTCTCTCTCTTACTCTCTCCATTTTTTTATGCGATTTTGGTTAATGCTAATGGCATGTGCATGAAATAACGGGGCACAGTGGATAAAAATAGCTTTTGCTGTTGACGGAACTTGGAATGAAAACTTGAAACAAGTGTTGTCTTTAATTATACGTGAAAATTTAGAGAGAAATAATGTTGTAAATGTAAAATAATACTCTTGGCTGGTTATAATAGTGATTAAAGTTTTATTGCATAAATACTCGCCTTCATTTTATTAGTCTTTAATTATCCAATCTTAATTAACAACAAATTCTTAATTTTTCATTTAATTTAGAATTTTTTTATCCACTGTAAAGCCGCAGTGACTAACTCACTCACTCACTTGCCTCCCATTTACTTACTCTCCTCTAGACCCCTCTCGCTCGCACTCGCTTTACAGATGTAACTGCAGTGGCAGCGACCGCTGCAGCAGCGACGTCGCGACGTCAGCGTTCTCATTGATTTCGCCTTGTTTGTCGTAAATCGTTCGCTTTATGCTGATTGTTATTGTTGCCTTTTTGTTTCTTTGTTTTTTTTTTGGGTGGCAGAGAGAGAGAGAGAAAATAAGATTGCATGTCAGGTAAAACTTTTATTTTAATGGGTTTTTCGTTTGCTTTTGCTTAAAATTATGCACAGGACAAAAAAAAAGAACACATGCTGAGGAAAGTGTTTTAATGGTTTTGTTTTAATAAAAAAAAAATAATAATAATTTATAAAAAAAAATTTTTAATTTATTTAAAAAAATTTTAAAATATATTTAAAAAATGTAAATTAATTTTTAAAAAACTTAAAATTTATTTAAATTTTTTTTTTATTTATATCAAATTGATTACAATTTTTATTAACTTTGTGAAATGTTAATCCAATTTAAAAAATTTCTATAAAATTTAATTCTATTAAAAAAAAATAATCTTTTTAAAAATATTTTAATTTTTTAATAGAAAAAATGTTTATGGAAACTTAATGAATTTAATCAAAATGTAATCAATTTAATACAAATTTAATGTAATATTTTTTAAACATAATTTTCTAAGTAATAAAAGTCAAGAACAGACTCTGACTGGGACTGGGACTTAACCGTAAATAGTGTACTGTATTCCAAGGATTATTGCATTCCAAGGATTGCCAAACACGCAATATTGTTAAGAATATATTAAGAGCAAGGACTACGGCTACGAGCGACTGACCACGACCGTCTCCACGGACTGCATGTCCCTGGCTCCACTGGCTGCTCCGCCAGATCCATTGGCTCCATTCGCTGAGCCATTGCCATTGGCACTGTTGCCATTCCTAGGTGCCTCCAGCGGTGGCAAACCCACCAGTCGCTCGCTTTCCCGCCACAGCCAGTCGGCGGTGTCGGTATTGGTGGCCCATGGTACCAAAGGAAAACGCATGCAGTCCGAATAATAGCCACCGCTGGTCTTGTCCAGGCCAGGATCCAAGGCCAGCCTTAGCGAGGTTTGTGCCCCAGCGCGTGGTGACTTGAAGAAGTAAAGTGAACCCGTCTGGAGGACACTCTTCATCCAGGCGGGGCCAGAGAAGTGACGATTGAGCTCTGTTCGTACCACGCCCGGATGGCAGCAGTTAACAGTGACACCGGTATCCTTGAGGATGGTCGACAGCTTGCGGGTGAACAGGATATTGGCCAATTTGGATTGGCTATAGGCTCCAAAGAATTTCCCATAACTCTTTTCGCTCATCAGATCCTCACGATTGATGCGGCCAAAGAGATGGGCCGCCGAGCTGACCACCACAATGCGACTGGGCGAGCTCTGCTTGAGCCGATCGAGCAGCAGATTTGTGAGCAGAAAGTGTCCCAAATGATTGACGCCCAGCTGCTGTTCGTAGCCATCGGCAGTGAGGGTTCTCGGACAGGCCATCACACCGGCATTGTTGATCAACAGATCCAATTTGGTCTCCTCCGCCTTAAAGCGCTCCACAAAATTCCTCACCGACTGCAGGGATCCCAGATCCAAAGTCCGATTGAACAGCTGCTGATTGTGACTGCGATCCATGATCTCTAGGCGGGCGGCCTCACAGCGTCCAGCATCACGGCAGGCCATATAGATGCGAGCGCCACGTTTGGCCAGCTCCAGAACGGTCTCCTTACCGATGCCCGTATTGCAACCGGTGACAATTACCACCTTGCCATCAATCCGATTGGCCTTGCGGTATGCCGGACCCTGGATGCACTTGCGCAGTAGCCACATGATCACAGCGGTGCAGATTACAACAAGGATGAGAAGGACTAGCCAGGCCCAGAAACCGTGGAAGCAGAGAGTCTTCTCAGTTGCCTCGGCGGTGGGATCGAAGCCAGGTGGAAATCCCGAGGATCCTGATCCTGGTTGTGTTTCTTCGCCTGATCCTGCTCCTGGCCGCGTGACAGCCTCCGACATAGTTGGGTGAGAAACGATCGGGAAGGGGGTTGCTGTGGTGTATTTGGTGAAGGCTTTCCGTTGAGCTTGATTCTGGAGTAGAAAGGGAAGAGCGTTAAGAAAGAAAGTTGAGTTGGCTCAGAAAGGTAGAGGGTAATGGGGGAGCTGCTGCTGTTGGGTATGAGCGACAATTACCCAGGGTTGAGAGAGAGAGAACTCGATGACCCCGAAATCTTGTGCTTGCACCTGAACAACTGGTTTTAAAGTGGGGGGGCTTTAATCATCTGGAAAATGCATGTACTTTGATCTTATAGTGCAATTATATGTTAATGGGTTCTGATTGGAAAAATGTGGTTGAGCTAGCTATACAAAAATCAGGGAGGGTCTACATTTTAGAGATATTTGTAAAGTCGGTTCTAAATAAATATAATATTATACTATTCTTAATAAAATATATGTAAAAATATATTTCTTTTGAAAGGATACTTTTTAAAAATTTAAAATAAATCTATTAAATACTTAAATTTTAAGTTCTACTAAATGTATTCAAAAATTATATAAATATATACGTTTAATCAAAAATTATGTTTTAAACACTATAAATAAATATAAAAAATACACTTTACAAATGAATTACATATTTAGTTATTATATTTTGAGAAATAATATAAGATCTAAATCAAATTGAACTCTAATACTTTCCCCTAAAAACAAAAACAAATTCCTAAATCTTCAATTAAATCGAATATAATTGTTTGTAAAGTCGGTCATAAGAACTTTCACTGCTTGTTGCTAAAAGAAATTAACACCTGTGACTTTATAGAGCGCTTGGGCCATATCGATTTATCTCTAGGATTTGCTGATTATGAATAATTAAATTAAACAATTAAACAGATGTTCCATTTCTCGGCATTCTTTGAGCATGAATTAACCAACTTTCTTTTATGCAACGAGTGTGGGCCCTTTTCCTCCAAAAAAAAAAAAAAAAAAAAAAACAACAACAACGTACTACCAAAAGTGGCGGCGAACTTACCTACCAATCCAAGTTGTGGCCTTTTGTGGTTCTGCCAACAATGCTGGGAACTGATGCTCCGCTTAAGTCAGTAAGAGTCAGGTGCCGATTTCGCACATTTCCAGGGGCGGCTTTAGCGTTTGCTCGTTCAGTTAGTAGGATCGACCTGGCTCAGGTTCCACAGGTACCTTGGCGTTAACTTGGTTACTTGGTAACTGGGTCAGTAGTCGGTGGTGGTGGCGGTGCCGCGTGTCCAAGCAACTCGCGCGATCTTGGCCAACTGACTGGCGGCGAGTCCACGCCTGACTTTGAGCCAACGTTCCAACGCTCCAACGCTCCGTGTTAACGCGTCAAAAATAACCTGAAAAAAATTATTTCAAAGCGTCTGTTATTAACATTACACTGCTGCTGCTGCTGTGGTTTCTGTTGCATGTGCACTAGGGTGGACCTTATCGCCTAGATCTTTATTATGCCATAAAAGGGAGATAATAATATTTACCTTAAAGCTTTTTAAGAAATTTATTACAAAATTATACACATAATATTATCTTTAAAGGGTTTTAAAAATAATATTTCTGTTGGTTTACAGCTTCAAATGACTTGTCTGTTCAAAGTTAAAAGCCTGAATGAATATTTTTCAAATAGCTTGCTCTTTTTCCTATAATTCTGCTTCTTATTCTTCTTATAAATAATCTAAAAATATATAAATATAAACATTGTACATTGTACATTTGTATGTTTTAAGTATATATGTATATAATTCTTATCTAGCTTTTTTAAAGCCAGCTTCATACAACTGTGGACACAATAATGGAACCAGGAAAATATTTAAATAATATTTTTTTAGTTTGTTACAATATCTAATTTAATAACTTCTCAATATTTAACTATAAAAAGTAATATTGAAAATTTTAAAAACCTTAACATTTTGGAAATAGTTATATTATTTTAGCTGTGCCTGTATTCTCCCCGCTTCTTCGCCTGGCAAAGTATACTAGTAGTTCAATAAATGTTGACCCCTTCGAACTGATAACACATTTAAAGCACACTTTATTCATTTTTGTTAATTACCCAATTAAGTATTGATTTAAAAAGAAAAGGGAGTTTTAGACATGAATTTATCTAAAAAATGAATAAGATTTTAAATTGAAAAATAATATATATATATTAAGTATACGTAACATTACGTATATTAGGTATGCGTAATTTTACGTATACTTAATATTTTTTTTTATTACGTATACATAATATTTTTATATATTTTTTGTATTTAATTTCCCTTTTTTTTTTGTATTTAATAACTAAACTTTAATAAATTCAACCTTAGCTCGGGATCACCCCCAGAGAAAGTCCACCTTAATGGCTACAGCAATCTCTCAGCCGGCCGCGGCGGCGTCTCTGCAGCTGTTGGCTTACCAAAGAAGAAGAGCAACTTACCGCCTTGGCTTGGCTTCAATTTCATTTCTTACCAATTTGCTGTTCGCCTTTCGTCGTTGCTTCTCCATTTCTGTTGCTGCTTTTTTTGTTGTTGTTGTTGTGTCCAACTTTCACTGGAAACGCTTGTATTTTTATACATTTCTTTTTTCTCCTTTTGGCTGCCGCCTCTTTTCTCTCGGCTCGTTTGTTTTGCTCACACGTTCTTCAAGTCTGAGCTCGCTTGGCTGCCTTAAGCGGCGTCGACCTCTTGCCCTCCTTGTCTTCCCATTGACATTCCAATGAGACAGAAAGAGAATACGAGAGGGCGTGTGGATCAGCGGGGATCAGTGACCCCGCCAAGGCCAAGACTTTGTAAAATTCACTCATTTTTCACCTGCCACTTAAGCCTGCACTTTGACACTTACATTAAGTAAACAACAGACAGTGTAATAAAAAAAATAAATGGAAAAAAGAGGACAAATCGACATTAAGGGAGATTCCCTTGGAAAAAAAATCAATAAGCGGTGTTAATCGAAGGCAGGACCTGCCGGAGTTGAATGTCCTTGACACAGGCCAAAAGCCAAGTTGCAGGGGTCACAGAACGAAAACCGGCTTACATTTTCTCCTTTTCGGGCTACGTGCCTCTCCACACGTTTAAAATCTGGCAATGAGCTATAAAGAGAGAGGAGAGCCAAAGTGGAATGAAAAGGAGACCGATGAGAGAGAGCAGGAAGGAGTGTCATGGACATGGTAAACGTACAGTTATAAAAACAGGTCACCAAAATGTTGAAAGAAAACCTAAATATAAAATGTATTTTAAGTTTTTTTGTATAAGAAATAAAGTTAATTTTGTTAATAAAGAGCTGCGTGTTGTGGCTCCCTCCCCCTGCCGTCAACCCCCCTACGCATATGGTGGGTTGGAGCTGTGAGAGCACGTGAGAGTTAAATTGGAGAGTGCCGGGAGAGAGAGAGAGAGAGAGCGCCAATTTGACTAGGTCAGGATAACGGCGTTACTTTTTGCCCTTCTCCATTTCATCCCATTCTCCGGGCTGTTGGCGCATTGTTTAATCGATGAGCAGAGCAAAGACTGCGCCGCTGCCCCCCGCCCCCCCTGTCACAATCCTGGCTCTCTTTACCCACCCCCCTGCCACAATCCTGGCTCTCTTTACTCTGTCTCCATCTCATTCCGGCGCGTTTTTTGGGAATTTTCCACTGAGTTTTTGGGCGTATGGGCAGAATGTTCGATTGAGGACATTAATTCAATTCCTGATTGAGCGAAGCACTCGTATATTTCAATGAGCTCAGCAAGAAATCGGATAACGAGGGGCACGTAACAGTGGAGTATCTCAAGGCGTTATAATGTATAAATGTCTTTGATATAGACTTGAGTTAGGGGCAAAAGGAAACTACTAATTAAAATACTAATACAAATACTATTTGTTTTAAAAAATCGTAAATGTAGATACATTTTGGCGTATTTATAGATACATGTTGAATAGATTTTAAATTCAAATTCCCTTTTACATCTATTATAAAATACATTTTAAGACTTAAATATATTTTAATATCTGGTGAATTAATTTTAATAATATATTAAGACTTATATTCTTGGCTACTGTGGCCCCCCGGAGGCTGTCTTTGGCCTCGCTGCCGCGCACATCCTTGCGCTTATCCTCTTTGGCCGCACTTAAGTGAGCTTATCTCGTTTTCCACTTTCCGTTCGCCGGTCGCTAATTCTCGCGCAGGACGTGACCTGGCATCCATGGTTAAGGCAAGTCCTTTCACCATTTCCCCAGACCCCATTTTCTGGATGACGTCAAGCAATTAGTGATTATATAACTAACCTTGATCTTGGGGGCTAAACAACAGATCGCGGGTAAACACTTGGGGCTGCCAAAAAGAGACAAACACGAGGCGCAAAGTAAATAAAGTCTCTATAAAAAAACAAAAATCTATACAATAAAACATTAAAAAATCATCAATGTATTAATTTAAAAAACTAAGATAAAATCAGAAGAAATGGTTAAGAATTAATATAAAATATTTACTCAAGGACTATGTAAAAAAATAGTTTCCTTGACTTTTATTAATCATTTCTGTGGTAGTATGTAATCATTAGATAATTCATAAAACTGACCAACCGCAAAATATCGAATTAATCACAATAACAAACATCAATATATTGTTGTCATTGTGTCGCATCCATAAGAGGATCGAACTGGAAATTGTTCATCAATTGAATGCGGCACGCGCAAAGCACGAAAACACGAAAGCACAAAAGCAGGCTGGAGATGTGGGGGGGATAGGCGAAGCAAGGGGTTAATTCCAATAAAAAAAAACCTGTTGCCTCGCATAAGCATAAAAAATACAATGGTTCTTCGCTTCCCCTCTCCTCCTCTTTACCCAGCTTCGAGTGATTTGTAAATTAGCAAAATAGAAAAAAAGAAAAGAAAAGAAAAACAGTGACAAGAACCAGTGAGAACCAAACAAAAGCAACAACAATAAAAGCAAAAGGGCAGAGACAAATACGCGATAAGTATAAACACAAAGAATGAGAAGAGAATCTTCTGAGGAAAAAATATCAGAATTTAAGGATGTTTTTATAGGAACTATTTAATATTTTGAATTTTAAAATAATTTTAAATTAAATTTAAGTAGATATATATATATTTAAGACTATTGAAAAAAATTGAAACAGAAACCCAAGACCACTTCTTTTAAAAATTATAACACCCTCAAGAAGGGTATAACAAAAATACAAGTGCATACAACAAAGCGAAAGAAGAATTAACAACAAACTACTTAAAACAATAGCACTAAAAGTACTACAAGGACCCTGTTAAGAACAACGAACAAAAAAGAATTTTATATAAATAAAAAAAAGTGAATGCATCAGAGCGAAAAATAGCAGAGCAGCTTTTGATAAATACCCAAGCAAGACAATATAAATACACAATGTCAAGGTTTTTTGGCACATATAAAAATATACAAAAAATATACCTTAAAAATATATTATTTACTTTTTATTAAATATCACAAGTACCCAGATTGTCTGGCTTAAAAAAAAAATATATATCCCATGACCAGCTCAATGAGCTCTGTTATTATTGTTTTGACGATGTGTCGAATGAACTGTTTATGCTGACAATGCGAAATAAGAGTGGAAAATGGAAAATGGATACAGAGGGGGGTGCTGAGGGGAATATTGTTGTTCAATTGGCATTGGCAAAAGAAGGGATTGCACAACCACAGAGCGCCCCATAGTTTGTGATATAACCTATGAGTGCTATATGGGATGGCATCGCATTACTTTTTAAATGGAATCAGAACCAAGTGACTAATTGTATCATCATATGTAGATCATATCATATCATATCATATCATATCATATCAATTAATTAAAATTACATTTGAGTTAAGATAATAAAGATTTCATTTGTATAGAAGCAGTTTTTTAAAAAGAATTTTGGGTAATTGTATAGGACAACTTTTTTTTATAGAATTTTGGGTAAATATTATGTGGGAACTTTAATCCTTTTCTTTTCTTTATCTTTTTTCCTTTTTTTTAAACTTATTTCTTTAAAAATAAATACAAATGCTATTTTGTTAATATAAAAGATATGAAATATTATAAATATAATTTAAATATTAATATATTATATTTATAATATTTTATATAATATTTTTTATTAACAAAATATATTATATATTTACCCATAAATAAAGTACCCTAAAAAACAATGCGGTAAATCATTGGGTTCCCGACATTTATGAAAGCATAAAATTTTGTTGTCTATCTGCGATATTAACGCCCGATCCGATATCTTTCCGGCATAGCCGGCATTTACAGCCCCCCCATCATGAGAACATGAAAATCTGCCGAATCGCCGACACAAACAGCAACAAAACCGCGTCAAACTGGTTTCCGGAAAAAAACTACCCAGAATATATAAACAAAAATCAAAAATATATATCACAGATAAGAGGAGAACACTGACTCTGCAAAATTCTGAGAGGGGGGGGGCTAGGGTTTATAAGCAAACAAGCAGAAAACAAAACAAGATAGCGGGAGATATAACATTATATAAAGTTAAGTGATTCGTAATTAAAAAGATGCGCTGAATATATGGGTTTATTTTTAATAAATATTCTTAGTTTGAATTTAAAAATTTTGTTAAGCAAAATATGATTTATTAATATTATATTTCTTAATGTTTCAATAATAAATTTCTTAAATTAAAAATACCACATTTTGTATCATATATAGTTTGTACAATATATATTTCACCCTTTGATTGCTTCCTTAATTGAAATTGAATCGCTGAAAGCTTTTGAAAATATTTTCATTCGAGCATCTATCTACGTAGCAGTTGTCCGGATTTTATGTGTGTGCCATAGAGTGGCCCCAGAGAAGCCCCCTATATTTGCCCGCCTCTCCACACAGCCCCGCCCATTTCAGCAATATGACACATGCCAAATTGTTTCAGGCAATTCAATTCGTTGCTGCCGCTGCTGCCGCGTCCAAAGGTCAAGGTTGCTTCGGCCCGACCATGGCGCCCTATATACGGGTTTCAGGTATGCGTGATTTGTTGTGAAATATGTGACAATAAAATAAAAAAAAAGAAATATATAATATAATAATAACAAAAATATATATATATTGATAATAATATTAAATTAAGAAAATAATTAAAACCCAGAAGATTTTTCCTAATAAATATTTCTTTTTTTTTTTTAATAATATCAAACATAAATTCAAATTTCATCCCATTTTCGCTGCGTGTAAATCACCGAGGGATCACTGTACTTTGGACCGTTAGTCGATCTTGGTTTTCATTTGCCTTCTCACTTGCTTTTCATCTCTGCTTCATCTTCTGCTTCCGCATACCTAGCGGCCAACGTAGTGTAATGTGCGAGCGAGATGGCTGTACAGTGGGTGAGAGTGGGTCTAATTGCGGCAGAATTCGGTGGCCTTCTCCCCCCCATGGCCGTCCATCCTCTGCCATGTAACGCATTTTCTGCGCACTTGGCTGCAGTTTCGCTCTTTTTCTCTGTCCCTCCCTTTGCTGACATTTAAAATGCATTTATCGTGCAAATAAAATTACACAGTTTTTGTAAATTTCTTTTCTCATATATAGGTTTTTTTTTACTTTTTATTTAGTTTCTTGTGTTTCGTTTGCTGTGTATGTTTGTGTAATTATAAAATTACTAACTAAGAAAAAAAATAAGCAACTTTTTTTAAATTAAAAAAAAAGGAAAATAAAAAATAATATTTATTGTTTTTGTTGCTTAAAAGTAGCTGTCTAGGTACTTGTTTTGTATATGTATATATTTTTTAGTATATGTATATATTATATATTTTACGATATAACATCAAGTCTGTATTCAGCTGCTTCGTTAGTTTTTTGATTATTTATACTTTTGTTTCTTGTTTTTATTATTATTTTTTTTTTGTTCGCATTGCTTAAAAAGTATATTGTCAATTGCGCTTTTGTAATTATATAATTACAGGTGTATAAATAAACACAATATTAAGTGATATAAATTCCTTGGTTCTTTTTTTTTTATTTCTTTAATTGTTTTGTTTTGTATTTTTTGTTTTTATTTTTTATTTATTTTTTATTTATTTTTGTGGTCTTTGTTATACAATGCAATTTGGCAGTTGCAGTTGCAAATTTGTCGGGTTGATTTTAGAAAAAAAAATTACTTACAAAAAAGGATGCTCTTGTTTTGGGACATTTGGTTCTACATGTTCTATGTTTGGAAGCCGTGGCATACATACAATATAATTAATATAATTATACAATGGGCAAGGGAGACTTTAAATTGTATTCATAATGGTTAATATTTAAATAGTTTGCATATGTACACCGAAATTTATGTATTATATAATATGTATTTTATATTCAAGAAATCATTGCCACTAACAACAACTCGTCACGCCAACTTAAAAGTAACGCGGCTTAACTTAAGTTTCCACGCCTCGTAATTACCCATATCCCCTTGGCTGCGCCCCTGCTTTCCTTTCCTTTACTTTCCTTTACTATCCTTTACTATCCTTTCTCTTCGCTTACGCGCTCTCCCAGTCTCTCCTCTCTCTCTCTCTCTTTCTCCTTCTCTCGCGACCTAGTTAGTAATTAGCCAGCTCTGCTGCACTTTATCTCTATCTCACTCGCACCGCTTTATCCTGGCGACGAGGTGCAACGTCGTAGTCTCATCTTCAGCCGGCTGCTGGCGCTGCCAATGCTGCTGCTGCGTCGACGCCGACTGCTGCTGCCGGTGAGCTGTTCCATGGAGCAGCTGGCCCCCTCTGCCGAGGCCTCTCCATCGGCTTCGTCCTCAGCCGCTGCTGCTGCTGTTGCTGCTGCGCTGCTGTTGGGAGCCAGGAGTTTGCAGTAACGCCGGAAGCGTCGACCCAGCCGACTGACCATGCCTCTGCCGGCATGCTGCTCTCCAAAAGAGCCGCTAGCGGCGGCCTCTTTTTCGCCCAGGAATTTCGCCGCATCTCGTCGCCTCTCGTCCTTTTCGCAGGACGATGATCTCTCGGCTGCTGCTGATCTCTCTGCTGCTTCTCTGGCACAGCTAGCGGCGCCATCTCTTCTCTCTCCCGACTCGTTGTTGTTGTTGTTGCTGCTGCTGCTGCTGCTGTGGAGGAGGACGCTGCTGCTACTGGCATGGTTGTTGTTGTCGTAATTGTTGTTGTTGCTGTTTTGATTGTTGCTGCTGTGATAGCGCTGCCCTCATGACCGTTTGCCGCTATCCTTGCGAAAGGATTTGCGGAGCTTATCGACGAGTCGCAAATGGAATTTCGTATAATCATTGGAGGATTGCTCCTGTTGCTGCTGTTGCTGCTGCTGCTGCCGCTGCTGTTGGCTTTGGGCGGCCGCTTGGCGTTCGAGAGCGGAGGCTGTGTTCGAGCGGCTGGGCGGACTGGAGCGCGTGGGCGACACAATTTGCTGCATGGAGCCGTGGGAGCTGCGCGACGCGTTGCGCGGAAAAGCGCGCGAGCTGTGACAGCGCTGCATCTGCATTCGATGGGCGTTGGAGCCGCCCAGTTGGCCGTGCGATGGTGAGGTGGCAAAACTTTCCGATTTGCATTCGGACACCTTGCGGCGACGCTGCTGCTGCTGTTGCTGCGACTGCGATTGCTGCTGCGACGGCGTTCCGAGAGCGGTGGCCAAAGCCGTGGTACCGTTACTACTCGCATTCGAACACTCCGATGTTTTGCGGGAGCGCGTGTCCTTGTAGATGTCATAGTTGTTCTTCATAACGGGCATCATGAACGCCATCTTGATCACTTTTTGTTCTGCCTTTTCTTTATGCTAGATCTCGTTCGATTTTCTTTCTCTATTTCTTCCTCACCTTTTGCCGAAAGGAGAACACAAAACAAAAATAAAGAAACTCGACTGTTTTTCGTATTTTCCGTTTTGCCGCCTTGCGTGTTTGCCTTTGCGTTCACTGTTCTCGTTTTATTTTTGTTTTGTTCTTTTATTTTATCTTCAGTGCTGTTTGTTCGCTGCGCGCACCTTTTACCGTTCAAATGGTTGAGTTCGGTTTGAGGCCGTCTCGCTTACGCCGCCTCTACTTATACGCTGGCCGGCTGGCGGGAGAGTGCACAGTGAGAAAAACAATTACAGTTCAACTGAATCTATAAAGCAAGAAAATTTGGACAAATTACTCATACGCAATGTTGGCTCGCCCTAAAATACCATTTTCAAATGGCTTAAACTTCTTGGAAACTCATTTTTAGAATACTAGAAGTGAACTTTTTTAGGTATGCATTAAAATTTTGTTAAAATAAATACCATCTGGCACACATGTCGTATAAGCAATTTGTCTGTAAGCTTTAAAAGCATGTGTTTTATTTTATTTCGGCTTAAATATGTGATTTTAATGTTTCTTGGAGTTATTGGATTTTAGTTTGGTACGAATTTTCTCTTTGTGTACTTCCGTTGGGAGCGGCTCTCTCGCGCTCTCTGAGTGCGCCGACGCAGTAAGAGAACACGTGGGTGTAGTGGTGTTTGCTCTCAGTGCAGCATGTTTACACGAGACGATTTAACGCGAACAGCGCTTAAATAACATAACGTAAACAATAATTAATAATAATTTTATATTTTATTAAAAAACAATTAAAAACTTATTTATATTTTGATTATAACTGAAAAATTCTCTTCTAAAGCTAAGTAAATATATAAAAATATATAATTGAATTGATATTTTAAACACCAGAATTTAAATTTTTTAACTTCTTCCGCATTTTTGCTTGGGGTTTAAAAAAAATCGTTTTAAATATTGTAAAATGTTTAAATTTTATAGTTCGCAAATATACCGCATGCATGACTAAGTCATTGGTCTGATTTAATAGCTTTTAATTATGAAATCATCAGCAGCTGGGAAACGGATTTGTGTAAAGACAAAATAATAATAAAAAAAAATATATAATGCCAATCAAAAATGTAATTGGAGCATAAAACTTAAAACCCTCTTTCCTTTATAATACGATTAAAGCTTAGAATAAATGTTATAACACATTTATGATAAACTTTAAAATTATGTATTCATATTTAAAATTAAATTTATATTTATATATTTTATTTTATTTTTATTTATAAATTTATATAAAACTTATATATGTTTAAAATATATTTTAAAATTTAAAGAAATACTTTTCAGATTTGCAACAGAAATTACTGCGAATTTATTAATTTTTTAAGTGTATATATTCCTTTTACTATGATGTATATAGTAAATTAAACATTTTTTACTTACCGAAAGTCTGAAAAAACATGTGTAGTTCGTCACCGCTTGACGTTGTCGGCATTATCTTTGAAATCGCAAAAATTGTCGGCTCTCTGGCTAAGCCCTATATGCATATGCATGCTATATAGCCTGGTAATCATGATCGATGGCCAACGGTGGGGCTCTGGTTGGGCCCGGGATTACGAGGAGAGTCCAAACAAGTCGCATGCAAATCGATAAGCCCCCGAATTGTGGGCTCCCAAGATAACATAGTACACAGTTTTGTTTTTGTTTAAATATGTTTTTTTTTTTGGTTTTGTCACTTTAATGAATAGTTTTCAATTAATGTTCTGACTGCTCTCCATCGTCATGAAATTGTTAAATAATGAAAGTGCATATAATATATATATATATATCTATTAATTTATTAGGGTTTTCTTGCCTTACCCATCTTCTGGTTTTCTTCGTACGAATGCATAAATTTCGTTAACAATTTGTTGTCATATTCATTCTTTTTTTATTACTCTTTGTTTTGCTTTTTTTAAGCTTTCAACTCTTTCCTCTTTTTTTATTTTTTATTATTTCTTTTCATTTAAATGCATTTTTAACAACAATTTTTCGTGGTTTTTTCTAAGTTCATATATGTTTATATAAAAAAAAATCGTATTCGAAAACGAAGAGAACAAGATTTTTGGAAACTGGAAAGTCTAAAGTTTTTTAAATATATTTTTGAAATTATTGTACAATTTATTTGTTAAGATCTTCGTATATTTAGTTTATATATTGTGTATATTGTTTTAAGTGTGCAATTTGTGCTTCAACACTTTATTTTTGCTAACAATTCAAAAAAAAAAGTAAAAAAAATAATACAAAAAGTTTCATTTTGGTTTTATTTTTTGCTTTAATTTTTTCTTTCTTATTTTCATAATTTATTTTTGTTTCAGGGATGGCCATTTAGGGTTTTCTTGTTGGTTTTAGATGCATTTTTTGTATAATTTACCTATATGTATATGTAAGTTTCTCCTTAACTTGCATTTAAAATTAATTTAAAGTTTATTATTTGCTTAGGTTTTTTTGTTTTTATTATTAATCTTTTTTGCTTCAATTCAATGAATGTCCGTTGTCCGCTAAGTTTCAATTAGAGTTTCTTTTTTATTTTTAAGGAATTTCAAAGACTAGCTAAGGGGGGCTTGATGCAGTGAGGCGATCTGGTTAAGATCGTGTTTGTATTGAACAAAAAATAAAAAAATAATATATATATATTATATATATTTTCCCAAAATGTGTGTGTGTGCTGGCAGTTTGTTGGCTATATAATATTTTTATTAAAAACAAAATTAATTCATTAAAGTAAAAAAATTAAAAGTAAAACAAACTCTATCGAATACTGGTAACCTAGTTACGACTTATGTATTTACAAACTCTGGCTAAACTAACTAACTAACGGTTTAAATGAACTATAAAGGCTATATGAATCAGGCTGCGATTACAACTCGTTCAAAAATATATACAGGGATGCCAAAGAAATTGATGTATCTAAAAAAAGAAATCTATAAAAAAGGAAGCTAAAAAGCATGTCCTGAAATAGTTCAAAAACGTAGCATACTTTTGGCCTGCATTTCAAGAGATTTCAAAGATACACTTCCCTGACAACCCTGATACACATATATATTTTATATACTAGGTAGGATATATGGGAGATATATATAGGTATTTGTTTATAGAGATGATCTCCTCCTAAAGCCCTTAGTCTGGGAGTCCTGGGATTTGTCTGAGCTAGTTAACAAAAAAACTACACACGCACAACAAATACACACACCAAGACTTACAGCCTAGAGTCCAAATGGATCTACATTTTTTTTTTTCGAGATCACATTATTAGTTTAATTGCCAGCGAAAAGTTTCTAGGTTATAAACGATCAGGATCATTGCTATATAGTGTGAGTGTGAGTTTGTAATTGTAGCTATCAAAAAAATTACTCCTAACCATGTACATTCATGAGCTAATACAGCTGTGTTCACTGAAATAGCAGTGCGACAGAGGAACAACTTCAAAACGTTTTTTTGTACTTATTCCTTTTTGCAAGCTGATCTATTGCACATTGTTTTTGTAAAATGGAACCTAAAGATAAGAATCGAGAAAAAATTCCGTTAGATTTGCTCTATTTTTATGTTTTATTGATATTTTTTCACATATGCAGCTCTTTTTAGCCGATCACTGAAATAGCAGTATTTAATTTTCTTTCGCAAAAAGTGCCGAAATTTCTTTTAATTTTGTACAAAATGAGTTTAATTACGGTCGTTATTATAGTTTATACTATAATACACCTTTACAACGCAAAAAAATTATTTTCGTGGGCGCAGGACCTCACTGCTCCATGAGAGAAAGGTATCAGATAACTTAGCCTAGAAAGAAGGGCAAAACATGTAAAGAGACTCCAAATCTTTCAAATTGTTATTTTAGAATAGTTTATAAATCATAAAATATGAACCGATCCAAAAAAACCGAGGTACGATTCGCAAAACCACAGTTGTACAGGCTCGACGCGTACTTCGCTTCAGCAAAGCACGTCCTTTTGCATCCTCTAGGGATATATGAGCGGGAATTGGCATGGGAATCAGTCATGGGACCATTCGCCGGGGATTTATTGAATAAATTTTAGATTCGCGAAGTCCATGGAAAATGTCACTGCTTGGTTACAGGCATATCAAGGCCAGATCCGAGTTCGCCAATAGCCACTTGAACTGCCACTATTCAAATGGCGTAATATCCTTTGGACAAATGACTCCAAACTGGTTTTATTTGGTGGAATAGGACAAGACAATATGTCCGTCGACCTCCAAATACAAAGTACCACCCAAACCATACGCTGAAGACAGTAAAACATGGTGGCCTAAAAATCATGGTTTGGGTATACTTTTCATACAACGTTGTAGGTCCCGTATATATGATCGGTGGGATCAAAAACCATTATGTTTATGTTTAAATATTAAAAACTGTCTTGCAGCCGTATACTGAGGAAAATATGCCATTAATTTGGACGTTTTAGCAGTACAGTGACCCTAATCATACCATCATCAAGGTGGCCAAGGAGTGGGTTCTTAATGAAAAAGTGGATGCAATGCCATTGCCTGCACAGTCCCCGGATATAAATCCGATCGAAAACTTATGGGGGACATCGAGGGCTACGTATTAAAGAAGTTTCCGACTTCTAGGCCACAGCTTTGGCAATTTGTGCAGTAGGAATGAGGCCATATTCCCCTCAAGCGTTGCTAAGACTTGGTGGACTCCTTGCCACCCAGGTATGAGGCTATGATAGCTTCTAAAGGCTATTTAACAAAATATTAGATCATAGTCAATTAGAATTTAAGAAGAAATAGGTTTCTTATACGATATTTTTAAATTTATGAAGAATTTTAGTTTTTCACTGCTATTTCAATGATCGGCATAATATAGACCTTTTTTGTTGTTATTAGCTATATCTTCTATAAGGTTTATGTTACCTAAATTAAATGATTGTGGTATTGTTAATAATTAAATACACTAAGCCTTTATGAAAAAAAATTTTATGAAAATAGTGTTTGTAATAGTATTTTCCAATCTTAAACGTGCAGGTCGTGGGGCACTGCTATTTCCGTGAACACAGCTGTATGTATCGAGTCGAGTATCGTATGCATATTTATCGTTATCGTTAGCATTAATCGTTATCGTTATCGTTATCGTATGTTTATGTATTTCAGTATTGAGTTTAACTAATCGAGTCGAAAGTGTGAGTGTATACGACGACGCATCATTGCAGCCCTGCTACCGCTTCCACTTCCGCTTTCGATTGCACTTCCGCTTCCGCACGTTTAACAACCACTCGGCTTGAGGTACATTAAGGATATAGGCCAGGAAGGAGGGCCCTTAGCTTAGTGACGCCACTTACATATAGAGATAGGTTTCTGGTTTTCCTATTTTTTTGTTTGTCTTTTTTTTTTCCTGGAGATCATTATGACAGCTTACTTTCTATCGGGGAATTTGCGAGTGCGAGGACTCGAGCCAGTGTCGCGGCGTGGGAACTCATCGTGCTGGAAAGGTAAGGAAATAAAAGTATTACAATAACAATATTATATATGTACATTTATTATATACTATCAGCTATTTAAGATTTCTTTTTCATAATTTTTAATACATTTAAGAAATTTTGTATCATTTTTATTTTTATTTTAAATATTTCTAAAACATTTTTACTTTAGTTATGAAAAGTTTTCAATGAAAACACAAATTCCCATTATTAGATAAAATATTTATATCCTTGCAGGGTACTTCAATTTGAGTCAGAAGCTTATTAGGCAGTGAAGTAGCCATTTCCGACCCTATAAATCATATATATTCTTGATCAGCATTAACAGGAGAGTTTTTCTGGCCATATTTTAAAGAAAATACAATTTTTTGAATTTTTTTCTAAATTTTATAATGGGTTACACCCTTATCAAATTTTGAAAAAATTCAAAAAATTTTATTTTCTTTCCAACATGTCTAGATCGACTCGCCTATTGATGCTGATCAAGAATATATATGATTTATGGGGTCGGAAATGGCTCTTTCACTGATTTCCAAGCATCTGACTAAAATAATAATACCCTGGAATATTCAGGGATATCAATTTTTTTATTTTTTAAATTGTTTTTTGTATTATTATTTTTTTAAATTTAATTTATTTTTATATTTATTTTTTTATTTATCTTAGTTTTTTCTTATTTTTTTTTATTTATTTTTTTTTTTTAATTTTTAATATATAATTAATTAATTTTTGTTTATTTATTTATTTATTTTTATTATTTTTCTATTTTTGATTATATTTTTTATTATATATTTATATTTATTTTTAATTTAATATATATTTTTTTAATTTTATTTTTTATTATTATTTATTTATTTTTATTTAATTTTTTTATTTATTTTTTTTATATTTTTTTATATTTTTTTTATATTATATTTAAGCCTTAAATACAGAACTCACCCTATTAATAACGCCACCCTTGTTGTTGCCACTGTGATGCACCGCCATCTGATCCTCGTCGCCATAGATCCTGGAAAATATCACAAGTTTTATTACAATTTACTTTTATTTCTAATTTATCAAGAGATTTCTATTGGTCTTTCCACTCACCGGCCATCCGCCTGCGTGGCTTCCGGTTCCAGCAGGGGCAACATGTCCTCGCCATGCTGCAGCAGCTCCACCGAGGCCAGGGACTCGCTGCCGGTGCCAGTGCCCGTGCTGGGACCCGTTTCAGTGCCTGTGCCCGTGCCCGTGCTGGTATCCCCCGCCCCAGACTCCACGCGCTCCGCCTCATGGCACTCGCACTGGCAATCCTCCGGCTTGACGTAGTTGTAGTGCAGCTTGTCGCCGCCCTCCGTGGTGGTCTTGCTCTGGTGCTGGTGCTGATGCTGCTGCTGCTGGTTCTGGTGATGATGGTGGTGATGGTGGTGGCCAGAGCCGGAACGATGGTGGCTACCACAGGCGGATGAGGAACTGGTGGTGGCGGCCACACCGGTGACATCACTGCGGTTGCTGTTGCTGCTGGCCAGCGTTTCCTTGGGCAGCGTGGTGATCCGCTTGGCCGGCTTCCGCTTCTCCGGTATATTCTCAAAGTCAATCCAGTGACCAGACAGCTTGCGCTGTGTGGAGGCCTTCGGTTTGGGCTCCTCCAGGTTCGCAGAGGGCGTCCTGGGAGACTGGTTTTGCACTTGAGGTGGTGGCGTCACCACTGGGAGCAGCTGCTTGGCTGAATCCTTGCGCTCCAGGTTGTTATTGGCCCGGAGTCCCTCCTCGGCAAACTCAAACCAGGATTTGCCGCTGGCATTGGACACGCGACGCGGTGACTTGGAGCTCTGGATGCGCTCCTTGCCCAAGGATTCCTTGCGTGGCAGACTTATCCTTAGCTTTTCGCCACGCACAGGAGGTCCTCCCGGGCCCACTATACCTCCTCCGACACCACCACCTCCTCCGGCTGCTCCATTGCCCAAAGCAGCACTCATTATGGTGCCAGCTCCTGTTCCTGCTCCTAAACCATCCATTTCCTCCTGCGGCATCATAATCCCCGTGCAATACTCCTCCAAATGCGAGGGATTCAGGGGCGTGGTGGAGCGCGGCCTGTCCACAGGACATGTCTTTAGCTCCATATTGGCCCGCTCTCTCATTGGGATGAGGGGCACGCCCTGAGCCCGCTCCTCGGGCAGCGTGGTGGGTATGTAGGGCAGCTCGTCGTCAAAGGATTCCTGGGACACCAAACCGGTGCTTTCGTGCTCCTCGATGACGCACACATTGCGTGGAAAGTTGTGATGATGCCGCTTGCTCCCCGCCAAATCCCCGCCAGCGGGCACGGCTGTTGTCACCGATGAACTGGCCGCCATATCCGAATCCCTTTCACTCTCCGACGATTCCACTGGCTCATGCTCATCCGTGGATTGAGAGTGACGACGCTCGGGCGGTGGAGAGATCAGCATGGGATCTGGCGTGGGTGTGGGTGTGGGTGTGGCTGAGGCGGAGGTCAGGGGATCCTTGTAGCAGCTGGTGGTGGGTGCATCTCTGTAGGAGGAAGAGCTTAGCTCAGCAGCAACTGGATGAGGAGGAGGAGGAGGAGCCGCCACTGTGTTGGAAGTTGGAGATGGCCGCTGGGCCGCTGTCGTGGGCGTGGGCGTGGTGGGCGTTACTGTGCCGGAACTATAGCTGGGCGGGGTTTCACCTGGTTGGAGGTGGGGTTTAGGATAAGATTAGGAATACTTTGAAGCTTGTGATTACTACTTACGCCTGCTGGATTCGGGTATACTCTGGCGCTTGGGCTTCCTGGGAATGATAGCCTGGGCGGGAGCCTCCTCCGTGGCGTCTGGCAGATTCTCATGGAGCTTTCGGCGCACATCAAAGTTCTCCAGGTAGCGAGAGTGGCGAAGATCCGCCGGTGGTGGTGGGGCCTCATCCTCGGAACTGGGACGGGATTTGTGCTTGGTTCGCATCACCACTTGGCTGGTTCCCTGGTGCTTCTCCTGGTGCTTTTCCTGGTACTTCTCCTGCTTCTCCTGGTGCTTCTCCTGCTGCTCTTCCTCGGAGCTACAAATACCCACTCCCCTAGGAGGTGGTGGAGGCGGCACCACCGGCTCCACCCGCCTAATGACCGTTCCCTGCCGCTGCAGACCATCTGCCATGGTCACACCCCCCACACCCGTAACCATAGACGTTGACGTGGTGGCTGGAGTACTGCCCCCCGAGTGATCCACCTGCTCCGACAGCTGGCTAGACTGGCTCTCCGTCTTGGAGATGCTAAATTGTGTAGAAAAAAGCTGCTCCTGGCTGCCCGAGCCCAAGCGGGTGGCAAACAGCAGGCGTCGGCGCTCCTTGGCTGCCGCTGTTTCCAGATCTGGATTGGGATTGGCATTCACAGTGGCCACCGTGTGCACCAGCCTGGGTTCGCAGGCACTCTGTGTGCTCTCCACGGAGGGCAGACGCTGCATCTCCGAGGATGATGTCACCGCTTGATCCCTCTGCTGTGCCAGATTGGCCGCCCGGGCACTGACCACCGAACTGACCACCGATTCGGCTGTGGTCTCCTGGGAATCCTGAGAGCTGCTTGTGTGACGCTGCACCTCCAAACTCCAGTTGGCTTGGACCGCCTGGATTTGTTGGAGTTCCCCTGGACCTAGCCCCGGTGGATCCTCTTGACTGGGCAGCGATTGTATGGCATCAAGATCGGGTCGCTGGGCCACCTTGGTCCTTTGGGCCACCGGACGCAGGGCAGCAGCTGCTGCGGCCAGTTGGATGGCCGTGATCTGGGTGCCCTGGGGAGTACCTCCCTGTCCCTGTCCCTGCCCCTCTGTCCCCCTGACCACAGCTCGGTGGGTGGGAAGCGGCGATGGATCCATGCTGGCCTGGGCGGCATGTGCCAACTGCTGGATGCCCTGCAGCAGGGATCGAGCCTCCCGTTCGTCGGGCGGCGTGTGAAGTGGTATGTGTATGTAGCCCTCCACGGGCTCATCGTAGTAGCGCAACCTACTGCCAGGTCGTGACCCAGCTGGTGTCCTATTGTGAGAGCCTGGTGCTGGCGGCGGTGGTGGTGGTACTGCATCCATTTGGTTGGACTCTATGGGCGAGGAGCTCTTGCTGCTCTGGCTGCCCCGTTTGCCAGGCTTAAAGATGGCCAACACGGACTTTTGTTTGCTGGGCGTGACATTCTGAGAGCCACCGCCAGTGCCTGATCCTCCTGTTGAGCAGCCTGAGGCTGTGGCTGGACGCTCCTTGCTTTTGCTGCGCGACCTGGCCGAATCTCTGGGTGAATCTGGCGAGTCCTTGCCCAGACGGAACAGCGAGCTAAAGGAGCTTTTGCGGGAAACGGGACCACCACCACCGCCAGTGGCCGGTGAGGGTGAGCGACTATTGAGGCGGCGTCCCGGCTTGGGACTAGCTGTGGGTGTGAGGCGATGATGATCCTCCAGAGGAGCTGATGCTCCTCCTCCTCCTTGCAAACTCAAAGAGGCTGGCTTTGAGTACACTGGAGCCAGTTGGTTGGGCGCCTCCACCACCCTTTCGTTGGCCGCTATGCCCTTGTCGCTGTACATGTGATCCGGACGAAGATTTATCCTTATGTACTCCGTGCCACTGGCCGTCTTGCCCACCACCATTTGTCCTGGACTCTTGGTGCTCCGACGCTGCGCACCCATGGTCAATGTGCTGGCTGGACTGGGCTTCTCCTTCTCACCATTATGCTGCCTGCTCCGACGACTGGCGGCAGCGGAGGAGGAGGAGGTGGCAGCACCTGGAGCCGGTGGCAGCACCTTGATACCCTCGGCCAGCACTGCCTGTGTGGGATCATGCTTGCGTGCCAGCAGCAGCTGCTCCAGGAGAGCGGCATTGGCCGCCACAGTGCCAGCACCCGGCATTCCACCCTCCGCTTGGCTGTGCGTCGAGCTGGCCGCCGTTGAGGCGCTACTGCCAGTTCCTCCGCCACCGCCGCCGGTGCCCACCAGCTCCATGGGCTTGGGGCCGCAGAAGGAGGTCTCCAGGAGCATGCGGTGGGGCGACGGGGATCGTGAGACTCCAGAAACCGCCGACAAGCGGCTAACTGCTGATCCCTGGCTGCCCACGCTGGAGATGCGACTGGTGCGGCCGGAGATGCAGAGCAGGGCGGCCACCTCAGAGCTGGCCGAGTCCTTGCGCTGGTGCTGCTGCAGGTAGCTCTGGTGGTCATCGAACTTGAAGATGTGCGGCGACGAGCGTTTGGCCTGGAAGATCACAGAGAGAGGAAGGGAGATGTTAATAAAAGGGAAAGGAATAAAAGGAAGTAGAGAGGAGTAGGTAATGTGGTGTATGGTAGATGGATTATGAATGGACGTGAAGTGTGTGAGCGTGTGAGTTAAATAAAGAAATAAATCAAGAAAGAAAGAAATAAACAAATAAATTTAAAAAAATCCACTCGTTTGACACTACAATTCCCAACTAGTTCTAGCATCTTCTGAGTGGTAACCCAGCTGAATGTTGAGGTTAGAAGTAGTGATGTGTGTGTGGGTATGAGGGTGTGTGGGTGTGTGTTCGTGTTTGCTTTCTCCTAAAGATCAAGCTTCTTGCTTTAGCTTTCTTTTTGTCGCTAAACTAGAGAAAATGAGTAAACGAGCAGATATCACCGGAGAGAGCTTCAGATTAGAGAGAACTCAAGGATAGTGATCAATCAGAGGAGGGATCGGGATCTGGAGAAATGTGAGTACACAAAATATATATATTTTTTAGCTTTAAGATCTCGTTAATCTTAACATTTAACAATAAATAAATTAAGTTAACAAAAAATAAAATTAATGAATAATAATAATATTATGAATGTAGAAAAAATATTTTAGAAAACATATATTCACTCCTCGTAGAATAAATAAAAAATAATAATAATACTAAAATAAAAAATTAATACAAAAATCAATAATGAATATATGTATATATGAAGTATATTTTTATAAACCTAGCTAGAAAGATATTTCTGTGAGCTTGAGTTGGAAATTGAGGTCAAAGCTGGGAACTACGAATATTTCGTGCATTTATTATAAATTATTAATAATATATAAATATTAATATTATATAAATATTTAATAATAAAATAGTAAACTGAAAATATATGTAGTGTTTGTAGTATTATATTTAAATATATAACATTATATTCAGTGTAGAAGGGAAACAGTACACTAGTCATAATAAAAACTTTATTTTTAAATCGAAAAAATATATATATATATTTTAAATGTATAGGAAGTTAAACTAATAATATTTTACCTTTAAATCAGAGAGCTTAGTCTTTGTATATAATTTTATTTTAATAGCTTATTTATTTTCAGAAAATTTAGTTTAAAAATCTATCAGTTTTTCTCTTAAAAAAAGTGTTCTGAAAAATTAAAACACCCGAGAAAAGTCAAACTTAAGGTCATTTAAAGATTTCATTGTATAATTTTGGACGCCTTTTTAAGAGATTTCAAATCTGACAAGATTTCTCAGTACAATCAATAATATTTTTCTCATATATTTTCCTTTATAACGATTTTTGAAAAACCCCTCAAGGTGATTAAAGTTTTCCTTCATTTTCCTCCTCTCTCACTTTAGACCAATTAAGGCAGTCACGTGCCTGAGTAATCAATTGCAACTTTTTGTTGCAATTAACCAAACGGGGGGGTTATATTACCAAGAAAGGTAACGAAACCAATTGATAAGTTGGACAGCGAGTCACTCATTTCAAGCGGAGGAAATAATTCGCACAAAACTTTGTCTGGCCCAGAAAACGCCTCATAAACTTTCCCCAACACAACGTTCAAGAGGAAAAACTGTGGAGGGGGAGCGAAAAAAAGAGGAAAACTGTGAAGCGGAAAAAACTATGGAAAATGGGAAATTGAAGCTGCTGATGGCAGATGGCAGAATGCAGAAAGTAAAAACCGAGATACCAGTCCGGGCAGCTACACTTGTCAGCTGTCACTCACGGGCGCAGGCCCAGGGTATATGTATGTATGTACCACCCTCTCGACTGCAATTCTGCATTATTAATTCAACTTGTGATGCGGTTACTCCTGTACCCTGCGCCTCGTCCTTGTCAGCGGCATTGATTCCGGCTGACTGACTCCGGGTCCGGCTCTTGGCCGCGATCCCTTGGCCAATTTCCGTTTAGTCAGCGCGGAAATGTCAAAGAAACTTGCGAAAAATAATCAATTTCCTTTTGCTGGGGGCTCGCAAGTTCAAAAATATAATTATTTATTTAAGAGCAGGGGAAAATATAAGAATAAACAACAACAAGACAATTAAGGTGCTTAAAATGTAAAGAGGGGGGGAGAGAGGATATGAATTATTAAAATGGGCATGGGTTTTGAGTTGTTAAGTTTTTCAGGGAGAATTTCATTTAAATTAAATAATTTTTTAAAAATTAATATCGGATATCGGTAGCCATTTGTTTGTTGGCCTTTCCAATATCGGCCACAAGCTCAAAGAGAGAGGACTCTCTCGCCGCTCCGCTCTCTTTTGCCGTCCTCCGCCATTCCTTCTTCATTTCGCTCTCGCACTCGCATTGATCGGTCGAAAAACACGCGGCTCCTGTGAAAACGCAGGAAAATCGTTGAAAAACGTTCGGAAAAACGGGAAAACGTCGTCCCGTCGGGAAAACTATCCCTCCGGAGGGATGGGTAACTCTTTTTTACGCGAAAATTCGAGTGAAAACCGGGAAAATCTACGTTCGGACTGCGTAGTTTTTGATTGCCGGATATTGGTATGCAAGTGTGAGTGAAATAGAATGAGTGAGCATGTTATAAATTTGAAAAAACAGAAATGGAATTTTGACTACAAAAAAGTATAGATTGCAAAATACAAAGTGAGTAACAGATCATACATAGCATTTTCCTATAGCATTTAGTATTTTCTTTGTTTCTCGTCGTTTATAGTCCTATTTGCATATTTTCTTATGCACCGTCATTTGGCACATACATAGAGCAGAGCAATTGTCATTTGTATATGTATTTGTTAAGGCTCACACAAATACAAATATCATTTGCTTTGCTCTCTCTCGCTCTCAATTTTTTGCTAGCATCTCGGCTTTTTCTTGTTAGGCTTTGTGTTTCTGATTCTTGCGCTTGAAATAAAATGTGAAAGCAAACGAAAGGAAACCTTTCTCACGGAAGGCAAATCCTGGAATACGATCCACATTTGTGGATTGAATATTGCTGACGTTCTTTGCTTTGATATCCTGGCCGTAAACTAAAACTGGAAATAAACTTTACAGAGTAGATAAAACGAATCTAAATTAAATAATTAATGTATAATACCCCCAAGTATGAAATTCGATTTTCTGTAATTATATTCGAAATCGTTGTGTGGAATATCGTTATCTTATCGAATCCTTAGCTTTCCCGCAACGCCTCACCTGCTGCTGCTGCTGCTGAATGCGCTCCTGTTCCTCCTTCTTTTGCTCGGGATCCATGAAGTATAGCTCCTCGGTGGAGCTGCGCAGCTCGAGGGCGCCCTCCTCCCGGAAGCCAAGGCCAATCGTTTCCTGTAGGGTGCCAGTGCCGACCTTCAGAGCATTAGTTCAACCACATAAACCAGCCAATACACACACACATTTTCGAGTAGTTTTTCGGTTTGTTAGTTGTGTCAAGTTTAGTACGGTTTTCGTTTTTTTTTTTTTTTTCGATCAGGATTAGGTGGTGGGATTAGGCATGGATGAGGGCCAAGAAGCATGCACGGGTTATGGGTTATGGGAGCGAGAACAGAAACAGAAATCAACAAATCAACAGCCAATTTGTGTGCAGGATTCGTTTGCGGTTCGGTCGGGATGTTGGGGACAGGACAGGACACAGATTGAGGTGTTCAGGTGTTTCGGGAGGAGGGAGGGGAGAGTGTGTGTGCAAAGGGGGTAGCGAGCGCATCACAGAGAGTGTTACAGACAGAGAAAGAGACAGATGTACACATATGATATACATAATCGGTGTAACGGTTAAGTTAGTTATAGATTCATGTTCATGGATGGATGGCGACCAACAACACATAAGCCAAGGCAAAAAATAAATAAATATATTTATTTATAAACAGAAAATATAAACAAACAATAGCCAAATACTTGAACAATTATATGAGGTTCTTGGAGGACATTTTGGCTACAAGGCAAACCTTTTTTTTTAAGAATATATACTTGTTTTTAAATCTAAAATTTATTTTCTAAATTTCTCTCATTAAAAAAATCTAAAGATACTAGTTAAAATATAGATTTTTAAGTTAGCCTGGTTTTATAATTATTTAAATAGATTTTTTGAATGAAATAAAAAAAATCATTAAAATAAGTAACTTGAAAATCTCTTCATAAATTAGTATCTTTTCAGACTTTAAACTTTCTTTTTATCAGAAGAAATTAATAAATTAAATATTTATTATATAATAAAATATTATTATATTTTTTAAAGGAATTTAAATTCTATATTTTGACTTTCTTAAAAAAAAGGATGCCTCGTAACCAACCTGAAACCTCCAGGACCTTCAAATCCTTTTTAAAAAGTGACCAAAAGTGTGCATTAAAAAATTTAAAATGTTCACCTTAACATGTCATACCTTTGGACACCATTTTAAAGGATTTTTCAAAAATAAAAAAAAGAACACACCCACTACTTTGGACACTCACCTGCTCGAATACATTCTCCGGACTGCTCTCCCGGCTATCCTCCTCGTGATGCGACGAACTGGAGGCCCTACTCAGCTCGATCCTGGGCGTGGAGGGTGTGGTCAAAGTGGCAGCGCCTCGATAACTGGCTCCTGGGCCACCAGCATGACCACCACCTCCTCCTCCTCCACCTGGGCCGCCAGTGCCACCTCCAACGGATGGCGGCAGCGGCTGGCCGCCTTCGCTGCTGCTCACCAATGTGGTGGTCACCGTTGTCGTGGCCGTTTTCAGGGGCGGCGGCCGCTGCTTTGCCTGAACGATGGTCGCCGAACAGGTGGCCGATGACACCGACGATGACGAGGAGGAGGAGGTGGATGCGGAGGCGGATGTTGGGCAGGATGCTGCTGCAGCTGCTGTGGATGTGGCGTTGGCATTGGCTATGCTCGGGGCTTCTATGCCGCCGGCAGTCCTGTTCCTGTTCGTCGTCGTTGTCGTCGTCGCTGCTGTCTGTTTTCGCACACTTTGCTCCATCATCTGGAAATGGAAATTGGGTCAACAATTTCTATAATTTATAGTGTTTTTTTTTTTTTTAGGGTAAAGAGAGGAATTTTTCATTGAAATATTTATATATTTTTATGGGAATAGTTAGGGGTTTTAAGGGTTTCTTAAAATATATTAAAAAATCAATTAAATTTGAATTTCCATTGGCAAGCAATTTTTCGTAATTTTTTAAGAACAATTGCTATCTTGAGTAAATTTTTGAATTAAAAAAATTATATATTTAATTTTTAATTTTAAGTTTACAAAAGAATACATTAAACTAAGACCAATCCCAGTTAATTCTTTCCGAATTTTTTAAATTAACAAATTTATTCAAGAGCAATTCGCTACTAGTCACCCTTGCTTAAGCCTTTTAATACAAAATAAATGTGTTAAGTAAGTAAGTGTATCGAGTAACGAAATCTAATTGTTTTCCCACACATTGGAGACCACCCCGTCATTGGATTATGGCCGATGACGACGACGACCCTGGGGCCAAAGCAGAAGGAATAGAAAACTAAGCACCAAGCTCCCTGTTGTCGGTCGTCGATTGACTCCATTGGGGACATACCCTCCCGATAATCTCCCCTTTGGATTGCATTTCGCAAATTGAAATAAAACGCTTTGACACAGTTTCTTCATCTAGTATATATGTATGTATGTATTCCGATATATATATATATATATATATATATTATATATATATGTACTTTTGTGTGAAGCTAACCCCACGGCGTTTTCCCTGGCTTACTTTTCACTCGCTCTATCTCTCTCTATCTCTCTCTCTCTTGAGGCTATTGCCATTCCCCACATGTGATTTTTAAATGAAACGATGATTTTGCTATATCTCTGGGCTCCCCTTTTGGCCCAATTATAATTGAAAACTGGCTGGCAAAAGGGGGGGAAGGCGGAGGAGGAGTAGGTGTTGACCTGCATTGGCATTGGCTTGCCGGTTAAAAAAAAAAAAAAAAAAAAACCAAACCGGCCAAGACACACGAGCATCTGGATGGGCTCCCAAGCCTTGACTTATACCATATACTTGGGTCTTTCCAATAATAAAATAGGGCGATAATAGGCTCAATGATTTTTTTAGGCGTTAAGCTATTATTTATTATTTTAAGGCAGTAATATATATATTATTATATTACTTTTAAATATTATATATAAATATCTCCCTTATCAATGTTAAAGTGAAAAGGTGAGATTTCTCTGCAAAATACTTTATATCCTTTATCCTTAAGTAGATAATTGATTATTTCCACATGAACTGGTCATCGCTCTACGTAATATTAAGATTTACTTTAAAATATTACGCATATACATATGTCTCCCTTATTAATATTTAAGTCAAGAGTTGAGATTTCTCTAGCATAATCAACTTGAACTATACTCCTTTCGCAATCCACCGGATATCCTTTGGCTGTCAGTCTCTTCTTTCGCCATAAAATAAGTGCAAATTGAAGGCATGAGATAATATAATAACTTTAAGCATCCGGGGGGCGACTTTGTTTATCCCTCTTCCTGCCCAGAGTTGCAGCATCCGGGGCGCTCTTGTCCTCGGGGCCCAAAGTCTTTGGCTAACACCATTAGCGGGGCTTTAAGTTTTTCAAACTGTTTGCTAGCAGGAGACATGGATGAGGGGACCGAGAGATGGATATGCAAATGCAGGGGGGCGTAGGGGTCCCCGAGTTTACTGGAGCAACACGATGAGGACAGTCCCCTCCTGCAGCAGAGCGGAGGAGGGAGGCTGCACTCGCACCGAAGGCGCTCAAGGGTAAATCCTTTCACACGCAAAAAATGGGGGAGCGAAAGGTACACAGAGAAAATAATTTATTATTAATAATTTAAATGAAAAATGTCATTAGCAGAGTACAAGGATCAGACCCACAGAATATTCTTTTTTCAATTATTTTAAATTTAAAATTCATGAAATTAATATTTTTGAAAATTTTCCTAAGCTTAGATTTTATCTCCGTGTAATTGTTGTGAAGAAATATGCACATGGACATGTCCTGGTATGAAGGCGATGATTGACACATGGCGTCCAACGCGTGCTGGCATTTTTGGAAGGTCCTTGCTTACGGGGGGATGCGTGTCTTAGAGGGAGGGAGGAGGAAGGCATAGTGCTTTCGGGTAGGTATCGCTTATTGTCTCAGCGGGATCTTGGGCACACACACAGAAACTCAAATTAATTTAAAAGTTGACTTTGGCCCTGGAAACTATGCTGTGATTTTCGAAATTGAAGCGCGTGCTGCTGGGCGGCAACAACAAAAACAAAAAGGACATAGTTAAAACACGGGGAGCATAGACCCCCCCCCAGAAAATGGGCCTTTGTTTTTGCGGTGTACAGAAAAGAAAATAATGTATTTTCGTTAGGTTTTCTTTTCATTTGTTTTCCTTTTTTTTATGTTAGGAGTGAGACTTATTGTAGCATAATTTGAAGCGTAAGAACGGAGTCCTCCCAAGAAGGAAGGAAGAATGGAAGGGAACTACAGCTAGAGAGAGCAAGAGAGGGAGAGTGAAAGTGCGACAGTGGGAGAGCAGAGAGTACAGTGATTCTGTCACACAAATGTGTGATTAAGATTAAATTAATTAAAATTTAAATAAAAAGTAAGCAAGAGCACAAAGCGAAAGAGATGGATAGACACAGGGAGAGCTAGATAAAGGGGAGAGAGAGACAGTGTGGCAATAGAAGGTGGCTAAAGAGGGGGTGAGAGAGAAAGAGAGAGGCCGCGTGCTCGACTTTATGTTTATTGTTCACGCACACACATATACAACTCACCGCGTTCCCAAAAAAAAATCCTGTGTGTGTGTGTGTGTGTCTCTGAGAGAATTACTTGTCGCCTTGGCTTATTAATTTTGCATTAGCTTGCACTCAAAAAACAAAAACTAAAATAACATGTAAGTGATTTCTCCTCCGCTTGCAGTTTATTCGCTTTAACGCTTCTCTAGATTTATCTCCTGGACTATCTCTGTCTCCGCCTCGGTCTCCGTCTGGCTCGCACACACACACACTCACTCTCTTTCACACACACACACGAGCGCGCTCTCTCGCTCTCACAACGAGCTCCGCTCCGTTTACCGTTAGACCGCACGCACGCAGCGCCAGCGTCGAACTGCGGGCAGCAAAAGCCCCAAAAAGTATGCTAGAGCACTGAATGGGAATGCGACGAAAGCTTCGCCCCGTCCTTTCTCACTCTCGCCCTTGTCCTGCATCGTTTTTCGTCGAAAGCTTCGGCCTAGGGCGTAAGGCGGATAGGGGGAGGAGGAGCTAGCTTGATCGAGAGAGAAGAAGCAAGGCGTTGAGAGAGTTGTGAAGGCGGCAGGCGGCCGGAAAGCTCAGTGGACTCAGCTGTGGCCTGTGAAGCTTCAGGAGTCAACTTGCCATGTGGGTGCGACTGCGAAAGGGAATACCATAGAGGTCACACCAATAGGAACACCAACAAGTTTATGAATTACAAAATAATGCTAAAACCGAAATACAAAAATTTATTACAAAGCTAAAATAAGGTCTTTCCATAAATTTGAATGAATTAATTTAAACGAAATATTTTCTTGATTAATTAAATTTTTTTTTTTTGTAAATTGTGTTAAAGAATTTATTTAAACTATTTAATTATTATTTATGTTTATCTTTCCTTTCGTAAATATTTATTTATGGCTATTAACTGCCAGCTCCTGTTGCTATCCATTTTGCCCGCACTGTACCGGATGCTTTGAACCGTTCATTCGTTACGCTTTTGGGCATTTCACCATCTCGCTCGCACCCACGCCTAGCTGGCTTACTGCCGCCACCGGCAAAATGACATTATTTTGGAATTATTTGGAGCACTTGGCATTTGAGGAGGCGGCAGGAAAATATTTCCAGAAAAAAAAAAGAAACTCACGGCTCTTCAGTCGCCGATCTGCGGCGCGTGTCTCGGATAGCAGCCACCCCGTTGCCCCGTTGTTGTTGTTGTTGGCTTCGTTTAAGGTTCATTTTGTTTATTAGCCCGCCTTTTAAGTGGCCATTTGCATGATTGCGGCCGAAAAAAAAAACCACCATCCCCAATCCAGTTTCCAGTCTTACCCCGGTTCCCCTGGATCCCGCAGGCCCCCCTTTAATACACACTCACTGATATTTGCAGAGCGGAAAGCTTTGGACGAAGCTTACAGCGCCCAGAAAACGCTTTAGTTGATTTCATGTTTTGGTTAATTAATTTAAGCCCTGCATTATGTGCATACGACATGAGCGAGTACCCGGGCACAGTGCTCGACCGTTAAAAGCGTTATTAATATTTATATTTACCCCCAAGCTAGAATTACAGGGGAGATATGATAAGCATTTCCACAAACTACAAACTACTGAAGTTTCTTTTGATATTGCAAAGAAAATATAAATAAATTAGTGAGATCTTTTGAGAAAAAAAGTACTAACAAATACTAAAAGAAAGGGGATATAAATGTTATAAATAAAGATATTTCAAAATACTTAAATAAATTAAATATGTATGAATAATGCCACAATTTTTCTTTAATTAATATGGCATTAATTATCGACTTTTCTTTCTTTAAAATTATAATTCTTAATAAAATATAAATATATAAATATATATAAAAAAAATTAAATTTAAATAATACATAGGTAGAGCTATATATTATTTATTTATATCCGAGTTTTCCCCTACATATACATTTAAATAACCTTAAAGACGAGTGCCCACTGTACCTGACTGCGGCGAGATGGGCAAACTAGGCTAAAAGGACTCACCGTTGCTTGGTGCTGATGCTGTTGCTTTTGCTCCTGTTGGTGTTGCTGCTGCTGCTGCTGCTGCTGTGCATTTGTCGTGGCATTGTCCTCAAATGACTTTTCGAAGGATGCAATTGGCGCTGGGCCAAGACGCTTTTGCCGGCGCGCATCCATTCCGTTACCGGACCCCTATCCCGTTTCCTTTTGCCGCTCCAATCTAGTCCTGCCAGTTATTTATTCACCCAGCAGCATGTCCTGGAAAAGCTACAAGAGAAAGAGAGAGAAAGAAGGAGAGAGAGGAGAGAGACACACATTAGAAGGCCATTGGCACGATTTTTCTCTTGGCATGGCTTTTCATAATTGCCTGTGGCAACAATAATGCACTGAGAGAAGTCTCGCCAGTTTCCTTATTTTTTTTCTTGGAATCAAGCATCAAAGATTTCTCTCAGTGCAGCAGCAGCAGCCTTTTACAAAACGCTTGCAATCACAAATCACTTGGCCCCCACTGTTGCTTGTGCCGGGCTCCATCAATCATTGGGGAATCATTTGGAGAAATAAGCCAAACATATATACATACATACTATACAATAATATATATATATATATATATATATATATATGGTATGCTATATATATGGGGCAGTACGTGTCTGCAGGGCCAGCGAACTATTCGCCAGAGGAGAGGCAGAGGCAGAGGCCTTTCGTGCCAACAGTTCATTGAACCGCGAGTGGCAGCCGCAAGCGAACCGGAAGTGAAATAATAACATCAACAATTGATGAATATTTAAGGACATCACCGTACCGGGTTGTCAAGTAATTCAAGGGAAATTCGCATGGGAGGGTTATTCGCCTCTCAATTACACTGCTATCAATTTGTTTAATCATTTAATTAAATATAGAAAATAGATTAAGTTTGATTTGAAATTGCCTTTAAAGGGCTCAGCATTTTTGTAGATACGTTTTTTTTTTAAGTTAAAACTTAATGATGGGAAACTAAAAAAAATAAGTTTAAATATCTACAGAAATTACTAGATTTTTTAAAGCCCTTTGAAATAGGTTTAAAAATATGCAATGACATTTTTTATGGTACAAATTATAATTTTTCGTGCCTTTTTTTAAGGGTTTTAAAATCTCTAGTAATTTCTGTAGCTTTTATATAAATATATTTATAGTAAACCTATAAAAAAATTTAATTAGTAGATAAAAATAAAATATTCCATATTATGTCCTATTTTTATGTATATTTCATTACTATTATTATTCTTAATAACTATCAGCCTCCTCGACCTTCGATTTAATGTCCTTTTTGGTTCGAAAAATTACATAACCAAAATTGTGTCACTCAGATGACGCGATGAGACTCCCAAAGTAAATATCAACAAAAGTCGCAGGATGCGGCCATCTCTCCTCTTGTCCTGGTTACTCCTATATGCATACATATATTCTTGCTTGTGATGAAAAGAAATAGTGCTAAAAACTTCAAGCCCTGAACTAGTTTTAACCCAAAAAGGATAACAGTATGTGAAGGCTAGAAAACTAGGTTACTGTTTAAAATAGAAAAAAATGGGAAATACTTATTTTAATTTAATTTTAACTATAAAATTTACACATTGAAAGATGTATTCTTGTTAAATTTTTAATATATATTTTTTTTTAATTATAATTTATAAATCCTTTGACTTTTTTAAGGATCCATGAGACCTAGATATTAAGATTTTTACTTTGTTCATACACAAAAGACAATATTTCCGTTTCCTGTTCTCTTCCTGCCTGTATTCCCCTTGATTTTATGGGTACGAAAAAAAGGATATAAAACTGAAGAATCCTTGACAAACAAACACACGTACGCACTGGCACACACACACACACGCACGCAAACGAACGCAAAACATGATTATTGCAGCTGAAAAAAACTTTTTTCTTCTTTTTTTTTTTTTTTTTTGGTTTGGGAATATAAACTTTTATTCTGCAGTTTGTTCCTTGTTGTTGGAGGAGAGGGGGAAACGAGTCCTGCCGGGATGCATATTGATTGCTCCGCCATTCACTCGACCTGGGAGTTTGCTGCGAATCGAAATTCGGTGCATTATTCATCGGGCTTCGCACACACACCTACATATGTATGTGTATATGTATATATATTCTATATTCAGGGAACATCGGTGGGAATTGTTTGATGTTTGTCTAAGCGAATGTTTGCTCTCGACCCTGAATTGTTTGAATGGCTTTAACCAGCAGAGGGTCCTCCTCTGCACACATCCAAAAATCCTTTAATTATTCACTTCAACATTCAGTCACTGACTAAGTAATCACAGCGACTCACAACCATGATTTTGAGACAGTGAATGAGTGTGAAATCCTAGCAGAAATGAATGCAAATATTCAAGGTTTATATAGGTGATGTTTAATAGATAAATAAATAAAAGAAAAGAAATTAATGAATAAATAAATGAACAAATAAATGAATAAATAAATGAAGAAATGAATAAAGAAAATCTAGCAGAAATGACTGCTAAAATTCAAGGTTTTTTTAAGTAATGTTTAATAAGTGAATAAAATAAATAAAGAAAAAAATTAAGAAAGAATGAACGGAATGAATAAATAAATGAATAAAATGTGAAAAAGAAATGAATAATCAAATGAGTAAATAAAGCCATAAATTGAATAAGTAAAATGTATTCCTAATTATTTTTTAAAGTTCATTTTATAAAGAACAAGATCGATATATATATATATATCTCTTTTAAAATCATAACAAAAACAAATATTTATATATTATTCAGAGAAAAGGGGCTCAGATATAAGTATTCAAATTCGTTAGAGGCATTTATAAATAGTGTTTGTCATTGGATTGACAATGTGCGATTAAAGGCTGTCTATAAAAACCCCTCCTGATGTTGTTGTTGTTTTTATAATATCCTCGCTTTCCTTCCGTTAACCTTGAACCCCAGAGAGTGGCCCTACACCCACAATATACTATATACTATATATATCCCCCTCCCGACCTGTGGCAAGTGTCTACCGGTAAATATTTGACCTTCTGCGGCTTAGAGTCTAAATTTAAAACGTTTTGCAGCAATTTTTTGTATAATACGCAGACGATGAATGCCAATGAGTGCACTCATCAGTGTCAAGTTGCGAGGCAAGGCCAGGGTCCTGTGGCTTCTGAATAAACAAATGAGTTATGTGAAAGGATTTTTTTTGTTTACGGCCAAAAACTAATTTGCAATGCATTTTTTTTTTTTTTTTGTTGCGACTAAATTGGATGTGTATATAATCAGATTTATAGCCATAAGTGCTGCCATTAGCCACTAATTGATATTAATTCAATAGATTTCAGCACATGTAATCCTGCATAAATTAGGTTTATATTTTTTTTTATGCGGAAAATAAACTTTAAATATGGTTTTTAGTGTTGAGGAAAATTTACTTTATTATGTTAATTATAATAAACTGAATATTTCCTTTTTGAATAAATCAAAATTACTCTTACTTTAACCCCTAAATTAGCTCCTTAATTAGGATCAAAAATGTACATTTTCTATATTTTATTTTTGATTAAAACCTTGTTAAAACTTGCCAAAACTTTTGCCACTCCCGCTAACCCATCTTTTTAAACTACTTTATGGCCCAGCCACCAGCTCCCCTTATTTTCCCAGATGCTAGCATTGAAAATCGATATAGAGAGCGCCAGAAAATCGCGGGGGAGGGGGGGAGTACCACTAAGGGTAGTGGGCCAGGAGACGTTAAGGCGACAAGGATGTCAGTATAAGTGCCCAACTTTGCCAACAGCTTAAAGAAGCATTCCTTGGCCTCCCTTTCAGACTCCCCTTCAACTTTTATATAGTTTTATATATATAGAGAGAGCCTTATCCCTCAAAGTAAGGGAAACTATGGAGAAAGCTTTGGGAAATGCCGACTAAAAATAAATACCCAACTTTGTGCTGGTCGAAACATTAAATAAACATTTGCAAATCTATACAGGCATTGCCCGAAAATTTCGATTTCTTAGTTGTAGTTTTGTCCTCGAACTTCGTTTGGCACCTCCCCAGCAATAATACACTCATCAAAATGATTACATAAAATTCTTTAAAAAAAAAATTGGTTTTCATGTTAAGTAATAAAAAAAAAAAAATAAAAAATAAGTAATATAAAAAAAAAAAAAAAATAAGTAATATAAAAAAAATAAATAAATAATAAAATAAAATAATTTAACAAATAATAAATTAATAATTAATAAAAAAACATTTTAAAAACTTGTCTTTTGTAATTAAAAAGTAAAAAGACTAAACATACTAAAAAATACTTTAAATAAATACTAAAAAATAAATTCCATCGCTTGACACTATAATTCCCAACTGGTTCTAGCATCTTCTTAGTGGTAACCCAGCTGAATGTTAAGGTCGAGTGGTAGAGTGGGTGTGTGGGGTGGTGTATGGTAGTGTTTACTCTTTCCTAAAGAGCTGCTACTTGATGAGTTTCAGTGTTCCCTCTCTCTATTGTAGCTTAGTGCTACGGGTTTACTTGCTATTTGTTTTTTCTAATTTATTGCTTTATTTCTATCGCAGGACCAGAGAAAGTAAAAAAAACGAGCAGATATCACAGGAGAGAGCTTAAGATCAGAGAGGAACCAAAGGATATTAATCAATCACAGAGGAGGGACCTAGAAAAATGTGAGTACACAAAATATATATACATTTAAGCTTTAAAATCTCTATAAACTTAACATGATGTTTTAGTTTTAAGTTCATTTTCAAGAAACTTTTATTGGGAACCAAATAACACTAATTTAAGCAATGACAATAAGTTTATTTTAAAAAACAATGCGAACAGTTTCAAGTAAAAAAGTTGTCCGTTTTAAAAGTTGACATTACATCATTGTTTAAATAAATAATTCATTTTTTTATAAATATTTCAACCTGAAATATAGCTATAATATTCGATTTTAAAATAATATTCTTAAGATTTGATCCAAAACGATTTGGCAAACTTGGAGCAAAAATAGCTCAAAGGCAGTAGGCCCACAGCCTTTAGGAGGTATTGCCCCCAATGACATTGGGCGTCTGTGGGTGGTGTGGGCACCAGAGGTGTGGGTTGGGGAAATAGGTTTTCGGAGACGTCGCCGCTGTCGGCGGCGGCAGAGTTTCGCCGCCACTGCGAAAAATGGGGGAGGAGGGGCGCAGCAGGCGGCAAAGGCATTTCATTGACCTCATAAATTGTCCAAGAAGAGGAAAAAAAAAAGAAAAATAAAATACAGTGCTGGGGGCATGAACCGCAAACCCCAAAAATGGCATCCACGAGACGCGGCCATTTAGTGCCGAAATACAGAGCAAACAATTTCGGGGGATAAAAGTAATAAAAATTCTAATAACTATTTTTTATATAAGATTTGTTTTTTTTTTCTTAAATAATACAATTTCTTTGATTATAAATATAAATAATATATCTTTTCTTTATAATAAATAAAGTATTGTTGATTTTTTTAAATTTTATTTATTATTAAAAGATTTTCTGGCTTCTTTTATTTAAACAAAATTTAAAATTTTTTTTTCTTATAAATAAATATAAACAAAGAAATAAAAAATGAAATAAACAAAACAAAATTAAAAAAACAAATAAAATAAATGAATAAACAAACTAATTATTAAAATAAATAAATAAAAATATAGCAGACGAAATTATTATTCAAGAAATTGTAGTTCCCACTCGTTATTGCTAAATTAAATTTTTCTCAGTCACAAAAAAAAATAGTTTCCGTGTGGAAAAGCAAGGAAAACCTGAAAAAAGCAAGAAAAACAACAAGAAAGTTATTAATGCCTGCTCGTTGCTCATCGTTTCAAGCTAAACTGTTTGTCATTGTACTTTGGGGAAAAGGACGAAGGCAGAATAATAGGGGGCAAGAAAAATAGGGGGGAAAGCCACGGAGATTAACAGAGAAAAACTGGAGAAAAACCAGACGCCAATGGAGAATAAATTCAATGAGGTTCGTTCAATGGACGTGCATCTATGCAAAGCATACTGTGGACACTGAGGCAAAAGGACCCCAGTCAAGGCAGGGGAAAAAGAAACTTGGAAAGAAATTGTAGGAAGAAAGAGAGGGAGAGACGGAGAGAGAGAGAGAGAGAGAGAGAGAGGTCTGAAAAGCAGACAGGTCCTGACAGAAGTCACCTGGCGACAGTGGGGCAAATCAAGCAATTTCTAATTCCAATATTTATAATTATTAATTAATTTTAAAGCCAGGAAAAGATTGGTCATAGAAAAAATAATTTAAAATTAATTAATATTCATTATTTTTCTAAAATTATCACTTTGTGCCCACTGTGCCGCTTATCACCGAGGTGAGGCAGGGCAGAGAAGTGGAAATAGCAAAATGGAAACAAAACGCTGCCTTTGATCGCTGGCTTTTGATAAGCGTCAATGACACAGGCAAAAAGGACGAGCTAAAAGGACCCTTGTTGCTGCAGTGCTGCCTGGGCTGTGAATCACTGATTTTGCCACTCTCTCTTTCTCATTATGCATTACACATAGTACAAGCATATGTATAGTATATATAGGATAGTATGCTAACTACACCCTCATACATGGTAACCGAAAGCTGACTCATTCTGGTCGCTGGGAATTTGGGACAAACTGCAGCCAAGTGGTTGCAGAGGTTTATGCCTAAATAACTTTGTAATGATAACTCTTTTCTGGAAATCAGGTTAAAAAAAAGATCTGTTTAAAAATGAAATATACTAGCTAATTGAAAAATAAATATCAAATGTATGTAAAGTTTGAGTCTACAAAAATAACATTAAAAAAAAATATAAACTTATCGCTCTATGATAATATATGATATACCAAAGTATATCGGATAAATAAGATATTTATCGATGTTATCGAAAAAAACCCCGAGAATTTAATATAGTTGTCCCTTTTCACCATTTTATTGCTTCGATATATCAAACTGATTATCGATTAATAGCACATATATCGCATAGATTATTTATCGACTTTATACCTAATAATCGCAAAGGCTTCTTACTACTAGTTGAAGCCCTAGTTTTTTTTTTCGCCCAGTGTAACAAATGCGATTAGACCTCGGCCACACTGCATACTTTCAGGCAGTCGCAGGAAAATGACTTTTCGAATGGCAAAAGCCAAAGGCAATAATGTGAAAAGAAACGAGAATCGAGGAGAATCCAGGGGCGTGGAGTGTGGGGGAGGGAATTAGCATGCAATAACAACTAGAGGGGGGGCGCATGACTAATATGTGCCCCCCCCCTAGCGTTGCCTTCATCTACTTACTTGCTTACCTGACCCCCTAATTTTTCTCTCTTTCATACTTTTTTCTTGTTATTTTTCCCCCCGTTTACTTTTCGTATTTCCTCGTTGTTGCTGTAATAGTGTTATAGCGTGCTGACTTTAGCTACTCGTAGTAGGTGTTAAGTAATGACACACATACATTTAGGGCGCCCAAGGGTTATGAGGGGGAGGGTGTGTGTGTGTGGGGGGGAGCGGCTTTCGGGGTTATTCGCTGAGGTCGCCAATTATCAGGGACTGCCACAACATCACCTGAGGCATAAGGCCACCGAAAAATCGTAATGCTAATCAGGGATTAATTGGAAATCATAGCCCAAAGACAGGGTAAACATTGCAATTATTGATAATTATTTTAGGTTTAATTTGAAATTAATTTTGATTTAATTTAAGTCGTAAAGTATTTAAAAGCTCAAATTGACATTGTTTTTGGACATCGAAATATTTACTTTTTCTACCAGGGAAATATATCTTTTATATCAATATTTAGAAAAAAAAAATCGATAAATAAATCGATTTTTTATTTTTTAAGTTATGATATGTGTGCTATAATACGATATTTTGTTTAATATATCGGACCAGCATAATCGGAAAAAACAAACATAAAATTAAACATTTGTGACATTTTTCCATAAATCGATATTTTACTATGAAAGGCGATATTTTTCATAAAGATCGATATTTTATAATGAAAAACGAAATTTTTCAATATTTAAAATTTTGATTTATTAAATTTTTATATACTTTTTATATAATATTGCCAGCTTTATTTGTGTGTATATGGTATATATCGAATATATCGAAGTTATCAATTCGATATATATTTTTTTATTGCATAGTTTGGGCCACATTTTCAATTGATTTAAATTCCAAAGTAATTTCTGTGGCAAATCCGTTAAAAAGGACATAATCAAACTGTTTACGTAAACGAAATAAATATTGTAAATATATAAACACATTGCTGTTGACTGCTAATAAAATAATAATTTATGTTTTGTTATAACTTAAAGCTTAAATGCATATTTTACTTTATTAATTAAATAAAGAGTTACCTAATATTGAGTTACATTGTTTATTTATATTTTTAAACTCTTTAGTTTAAAGTTTTAATATAAATAAACAATTTGATCTATAAGTAATCTCTAAAGACCTCAAGGATATGGCCATCAAATAACCTTAAGGTAACCATTGTTTGAATTTTCATTTACATTTAGTGGCCGCAGGACTCTCGCCTGGTCGCTTGGTAACAGTGCGGGGGGGGGGGCCTCTGCCAGCCATGAATTCCAACCTTACATAATTGAACTGGCTTTATGCCGGAACAACAAGGATAACTAGGATAACAAAACCCACGGGCACACACTACACAGACACAGACACAGGCACACACACACACAAGCAACAGCCACCGACTGCAGTGCGAAGAATTCCTTGCATACTTTCCAGGGCAGAGTCGAGTCGCGTCGAGTCGAGTCGAGATGAGAATTCCGAGCTGCGCTCACATACACACTCGAAAAAAAAAGAACATATACGAGGCAGAGGAAGCGCCATTTAGGGCAACATCTTTTCACGAATATTTCCCGCTTTTCCCACCGCCTTTCCCCCTTACGTAAGCCAATTCGATTAGACGCGTTAACCGTTCTCGGCGCCAAGCGAACGCCAACTGAACTTATCAGTCACTCAACTGAGCAGCGACTCAGGCCGACAACTACAACTACCACTACACACACACACACACACACACACACACACATGCATAAACTATTTGTGTGTGGGTGTGCTTGCCCCGGCCATAGTGAAGTAAGTGTAAGGTGGTGGCGTCGGCAAAAAGTAGTTCGTTAACTACGCCGACTTCCGGCAGGGCAGGAAAAGTGTGAGCGAAACAGGGTAGTTAGCCCTTAAAATGACTTTATCATTTTCAAATAATATATTTTATTATAGCAGGAGTACATATTTGTATTATAATAAGAGTTCAAGTGTAATTTATAATATAATTTGTAATCCAGATAATATTTATAGACTCGAAATTATATTAGAAATTAAAAGTTAATTCTTAATATGATAATACAAATATTAAATAATAAATATAAAAATAATAAATATTATTCCAAAATATATTATTTATATTTAAATATATTTATTATAATATTAAGAGCTAAAGTTTAATTTATAATATAATTTTAATTAAAAATAATTTGAAATCTAATGCTTTTATTTTTCTACTTAAGGATTTGTTTAAGAATTTAATTTATATTTATTTAATTAGTGGTTTAGCACACAAGGGTTAAAGGTTATATTAAAAAAATATTTTTTATATACAATTTTTTATATTTATTTAAAAAATATTGTACGAAACCCTAAAATCCCAAACACATTGTAAGAATTAATTAACACACTCCATTTTCGTTTCATTTACTTTTCTACCTTTAACCCTTTTGCTTACACTAATTATTTATTATTTTCAAGGGAAGAGACCACCTTAAACTTATTTTACCATGGCCACTGTGGTCCAGAAAACCATTTTTATTGATTAAAATAAATAACTTGCTCAATTTATGAGATATCAACTTAAATCTTTACCAATTTGGATTTTGTAGTCAAAGAAAGATTCTGAAAAACACCAATAAACATATAAATAATTCTTATAAATTATTATTTTTTGTTTTTTTTTCAATGAATGCTTTTCAATAAAATCTCTGTTAAAGTAAAATTATCCTTTAAAGTACACCAATAAAAGTATCCCCACAAATAGTCCCTTCAACTTTCACCAATCAATGAATATTAATAATATTTTGTATCAAGGAGATTCCTAAACTTACCCATTACTTTTAAATAAGATTTACAATTTTATTACTGTTTTATTTCAAGGACTACTGTACCACAACACACCAACAAGGCGGACTATTGTTTACTGCACAGTTGTTTCTTGTGCTTGTGCTTCTGCTCCTGCCTCCTCGGCCTGTAGCTCCACCTCCTTCACTTCCGGTAGAAACAGAAGTCCAAAGACTGAGGGCAAAAGGGAGAGACAAGGACTAAGGCGAAGCAAAAGAAGAAAGAGCAACGAAAACAGCAGAGAAATGCTAAGGAAATCCTTGGCCGAAGTGCATCGTAAGCTTTTTGGGGCTTGGGCATGTTAATGGGGTCACCACCACCACCACCACCACGCCCCCTTGCCTGGCTGCGATTGTTGTGCTAGAATGCAAAATTGATCAATTTGGACGTCAACGTCTGGCAGGACCCTCCTTTGCCCGCTGATGCTCCACCTTTTTTGAGACCACATCAGGCGCAAATATATATAATTTATGCCCACAACAATGGACATAAAAGGACATGCTAAAACACAGGCGACCGAGCAGAACCAAGGACCAGGACGAAAACCGGGATGAGGTTTCGGCCATCGGTTCTTCTCGAACGCCCTAATTGTGTTGGCAGTCATAATGCAATTCCAGGATTGACTGCTGGACATTGGAGCTACATTGACAGTGAGTGCTGCAGGTTGTTCTCAATATCTAAAGGATTCCCTAGGAATGTCAATAGCACGGCAACAGGTATGTACGATAAATATTCTTTATTGCGGGTAAAACCTAACTATAAGTTTTGGGGAACGATTGAAAATTTAGTTCTCTGAATTTTACATAAATTTTCTATAAAAAACGATTCAAATAATGAAATATTTCTGGTGTTCTTAGTCTTAGGAGCGATTGGAATATGAATAGAACTAAATTTTAACTGTAGAAAATATAAAAAAAAAAACGATTTAAAGATTATTTCATTTATATGATTTTATTTATATGATTTTCAAAAATTGTCCGGTGTTTTTTGGAACACTCGTGAAATGAAAATATCTGAACAGTTGGAAACTTGATTGCACATACTGCATACTCCCACTCACACACCCGAAAAAGGAGGGGCTACACCCCACGACCCCGTTTCCACTGTGGCCGTGCATGTTGTGTGCCCCCATCCTTGTCCCCATGACCATCGTCCCAGCACTGGCTTTCTCTTTAAAATAGCAAAGTGCCACATAATTCGATTACCATGCATGCAATCGCATGCAGCGCACTTGGGGCTTGGGTTTGGGGTTTAAAGTGTGGTGTCCTGGTCCCTCAGCACCCAGACGGGCCACTCCCACGTCCAGTGGGTGTCACCAGTGGCTGGCTGTGGGGAGTGGCACACGCACCACGCCTGATGGATGAGTCGCAGCGTTAAGTGGCGTTAAATCAGGCGGATATGAAGGGTGTTTGTGGGTGTCGTAAGACTGGCAGAAAAAAAAATGTTAAAGAGATTTATTTTTACATATTTGAAACGGAATTTTTAAATGGTTTTAGTTATTAATTTTTTTATTTATATTTTTCAATATTTATAAGGGATACACCTAGCATATCATTCACTTTTAGGATAATTATTATCCCTAAGACCTAAAAAAACGATATATTCTAAGGACTGCTTTTGAATATATTTTTTATATTATAAATTTTTAAATAATGAATGTATAAAAAATGCATAACTTGACATATAAATTAATTAATTTTATTAATAATTTTTGGCCATTAAAATCTCCAAAAGAAGAGAATTTCTTATATTATATATCTATAAAATTTTTGTGGGAAAATCAAAGTTTCAAAAATATCATAACTTTGCCAAAACAGCATCAATTTCAAATCGGAAAGCTGTTCTGTGTTAGTTTTTATGAGGTTAACAAATTTGCATACTTAGTTGGAAAAAAAAATTTAGGTCAAAAATTGAGAATTTTAATGATGTAACCCCTTATCACATTTCGCAAAAATTGCTCAACATTTGATTTCCTCCAAACATGGCTTAAACGATTCGAATTTTAATGCTGATCAAGAATATATATGGTTTATGGGGTCGGAAATGACTCCTTCACTTAAAAAAATATTATTTTGTATTATAAAATCTGATTTTTTATATTAAAAAATATCATAACTCGGCCAAAAATGCATTAATTTTAAATCGGAAAACTGTTCTGTGTTAGTTTTTATGAGGTTAACAAATCTGCATACTTAGTTGGAAAAATAAATTTTGGTCAATTTTTGCGAATTTTTAGCATGTAAAATATCCCTTAAAAGCTGTAGCAACCATTTCAAGTTGTAAAAACAGAGTAAAATGAAGTGAATTCCACAGTTCTACACGTTGAAATGGTGTAAAATCCTGTAGAGCTAGTGTAAGGTAAAACAATCAATTTTTCTACATGAATTAACCAGCTAAAAATAATAAATAATAATATTTAAATGAATATTCTTAATCTGAATAGGCTGCCAGATTCAAATTAAAAAAAATAATAATAATAATAAGAAAAGTAAACACTAGAACATTTGGATAAGGAGACGCCTAAAACAGAGATCTTATTTAAGATTAAGAAAATTGAAATATAAACCGTAATATTTACAATTTATAATTAATTAAGCCCGATCCGCAATTGAAAACTCACTGCCACTGTTTTATTAATGTTAAAAATGTTTTTTTATTCTGGTTTTGGGTTTTGGGTGTGTATATCAATAAGTAAAATCATTGTAGTATATCAACATATTGTGTGTCCCCCTGTTTGCTTAACAGCTAAAACATAAATAATTTAAAACTTAATTAACTAAGGCCAGTCTGGCGATTTACAAAAAACATCTTCTCATCAAACATCTTCTCTTATTCTTTTTGCACAACAAATATTACACAAAAAAAAGGGACATTTTGAATTTAAAAAAAAAAAAAACAAACAAAATACTTTTGGATAATTTCAATCAATCGATAAAAAGGACTCGAGAACCAATCGATAATGCAACGATACACATTGCATTTATATTAATATATATATATATAGTATAATTAATGTAGTTCAGTTTAGTAAGGGGAATAATCGGGGAGGGGGGAGGGGGAGTTCGATGAACATACCATTAAATTTTTGCACCCCTTAAGTGTACGATTTTGGAGTGGTTTCAACCCACCTCCCCACTCTTCTTAGTTATTACGATTTAGAAAGCACTTGAATTTCGCTGTTCACGACAAAGGCAACATGGTGTTTGATCTCCTCCAGCAGCGTCTTTAGCTCCTCCTCCTCCTCCTCTGGCGAGAGGCTGTGTGTGTGACAAGTTGTATATCAAGTTGGTGACGCTGACAAGTTTGGCTGTTTTTTTTTTGTTTTTTAACCGCTGAAATATACAAAATGGAATGGTTTGTTGATGAGTTTGAGACTGAGAGTATGGTTTAGGCTTTAGGCGAACTACTTAGGGGGATGCTCAAGCATTTAGGGCGGGGGAGAGAGAGGGGAAACCATGGACCCACTTATCAAAAGAATCACAACAGTCAGGCGAAAGGGAAAGAGACAGAGAGAGAGAGAGAGCTAGCTAGCTAAGCGAGCGAGACAACAGAGAAATGGAATGAATAGTTGCTAGGTCATCGGTTCATCTTACTTCGTAGCAGCTTCTTTTAGTAGTTTCTTCCTTCTTTTATTTCTGCTTGTCTTCACATTAGCTTTACTTGTTGTTGTGTTGTTGTTGGTGATGTCGTAGTTGTTGTTGTTGTTGTTGGTGAATTGTTGAATTAAGTGTTTTCTTTTTATAAACATTTTCTACTTAAATGCAAATTGCAGCAGCCATGCACAGCACTTACTTTAGAAAGTCATTCATATTGATGTAATTTTTATAACTAAATAAAGAGAAATCACAAAAATTCATTCGGTTAAAAAAAACAGAGGAAAACGAAAATAACAACAAGACACGAAAAAACGAGCAGAAAAAGGCCAAACAAGTATTTATGTTAAGAAAAAAGACACACAAATGATGAGGTTTGAAGGCGAATATTTTATATTAACAAGAAGGAAACGTTTTAATAAGCATTCAAAACATAAATTTCAAGGCTTAAACTCGTTACTCATCTTGTTAATTATAAAATCTTTCGCTTGGGAGTTGTGTTTGACAGACACTGAAATTGTAGCCGGGATTGTTGGTTCCTTATTTAAAGCAGATATATATTATAGGATAATAATAATTTTGATTGAATCGACAGAATTTTGATGGATAAGGTTAATCATTTTTGGCTAACGGCTTTCAACAATCCTACCGGCGGTCAGGGTCTTGCATGCAGTTGGTTTCTTTTTGCTTTGTGGTTAGTGGGTGAGCGTGGCCCTTGGTAGCGACCAAAACGATTTGGGGCCGTACCTCTTGGCGGATGTGGTGCGCGAGTAGGGATTCTGTAGAATCTTTGGATGCGTTTCCATAACGCGCAGCAGCAAATTGTCCAGATAATCCTCCAGTTCCTTGACACGCTGCCGCTGCAGCAAAGCCTCATTCTCCATGCCATTGGCTATAAGCATTAGTTCCTGTGAAAACAACGAGGAGATTATAAATCATTGAAGAATATTATAAATGTTATGTAAACCCACCTCCCGGGACTTGCCCTCGTATTTCTTGGCCAGCTGGGCGGATATCTCCGAGCGTCGCTCGGCATGCGATCCAGACTTTTCGTGGCCAATAATAATCCGCTCCGTGGACTTGGGACTGGGCGAGTTGCTCTCGTTGTCATTGTTGTATTTATCTGAAAATTGAAACAAAATATATAGCTAATCATTATTTAAGGTCCCTGGAAAAAAAGGCTTTTGCGGATGAGTAAGGAATGCTTATACACTGGCGGATGCAAAAAACACAATGGAAACATTAGAAACAAAATCTGTTTAGGAAAAAGGAAAGCAGACGGAGACGAAGAGGAAATTTTAGGTAGATGTCTGGGCAGGTTTAATATGAGACGCAACAGATGATGGACAGCATTGATTGGAAGTTAGCTTGGTTCGGTTTCTTGTGTGCGCTTCGCGATCCGCCAGCCAGCACTCCCTGCCCGCCGCCAGGATCAGGATTATCAGTAATTTAATTTTTTTGATAGAGGTTCAAGTGGTGCCTGGAGTTGGATCGGTTTTGGATCGGGTTCATCAGCTCACCTCGCTTGTTGCCGTATTTGAACTTGCCCAGCCGCTTCTCCCCGCCGTTGCCATTCGTCTGGAACTCCTTGGGCGACTGCTCGGGCGTAAGGAAGTTGTGCTCTGGCTCAGCCAGTTCAACCTCCTCCGGCTCCTCTACCATTTCCCGTTGAGTGGCCGCCGGCGCAGCTACTGCTGCTGGTGGCTCCTCGAGGGATGCGGAGCGCGTGGCAAAGCTTAGCAGACGCTGGTCCTCCTCCCATCGCTTGGTCTCACGCCGCCGCTGCTCCTCCAGTTGTTGCCGCTCTTTGGCCTCCTCCTCTAGCTCTCGCTGCAGGGCAGCCTCCTCCTCATGCAGTCGCTGCTCATTTAGACGCAGTTCCTCCTCCAGGCGAGCATCTTCCTCGGCCCGCTGCTGCCGGGCAGCCTCTTCTCTGGCCTTCTCCTCCTCAGCCCTCAGATCGGGCATTACCCTGGGCTGGGGCTTGGGACGTGCTGTGGGTGTAGGCAACGCCATCGGTTTCTCCGGCTCAAGATCCAGCTCCTCCAGCACAGGCTCATCTGCAAAGATGGCAGTGCTGTTGCGTTGCTCGTACTTGGCGAAGCTGGCATTGAAGGTATCGAAATTGCGATGCTCCACGTCGGGTGAGAAGAGTGACGAGGAGGTTACAGCAGTTGGAGCAGGAACAGGAGCAGCAGCCGGAGCTGCAGCGGGAGTAGAAGCTTTAACAGTAGCAATAATGGAAGCTGCTACGGGTACTGGTGGAGGAGCTGCCCGCGGTGGCTGCTCCAAGTCCTCATCCTCCTCATCACTGTCCGAGCTGGAACTGGACGAAGAGCTGGAGGTGGGTGGCACTGGTGGCGGCTCTTCCACACTGGCGGGCAATGGCACTCTGGCCTCCCAGCTGCGACGTTTCAGGGAATCACTGCTACCAATTTCCAGATACTTGCCGCCGCCATACAATTTCGATGCCCACTCATCCTTGCTGCTATCCGGCTCTACTGGCGGCTTCTCCTTTGGCTTTTCTCGCTCCGCCTCCTGCTGCTCCACCTGCGACGACAAAGACGACGGCGAGGAGGGAATGCGTGGCGGCTTCGAGGGAGGCGGCAGGGTGCTGCTGCTGCTGGCGCGGGCACGTACACTGAAATCGATCTCAAGCTGTTCCATCTCTGCATCGATGGGCGCATCCTCATCGAGGGTTGCTGGTAAAACCGTTGGCTTACCTTTCCCGCTGCCGCCGCCACCGATGACCACGCCGTTGCCGTTGCTCAGCAAGGGCGATGGATGGCGCGGCGCAAAATTTGGCGTCCCGGCTACTGTTGCTGGCGGTGGCTGAAGACCAGATCGTTGGATGTTTAGCGAACTGCCGGAGCTCTTGTGCGATAGATTATCAAAGACAAACTCATCCTCGTCCTCGCTAATCACACCGGGATCGGCCTCGCCTGCCCGCTGGCCACCTCGTCGCCGGCCACTGCCTCCGCCGTTTTGGCCCCTGCCCGCTGAGCTATTGGGTGTCCCGAGGCTGGCAAAAGAGCCGCCAAAGGAGCTGCTATCATCGCCGCCAGCCTCCTGTTTCTTCTTGCTGCGAATGTGCAATTTGGAGCTGAGCGAACCGGCCAGCTTCTTGATGCTGCGTCGCTTCTCGCCATTGCCAATGGACAGGAGGCTGCCGCCCACAGAGCTGGCCAGCTGGCCAATGGAAGACTTGTGCTTGTCCTTCTTACTGAGGTCGGTCAGTGAGCCGGATTTGACCACAAAGGCAATGCGGACCTCCAGTTCACCGCGCTCCTTGTTCTTCTTCTCCTTGCCGGGCTTGCTCTCCAGCTTGAACCACTTGGCGCGCGGCCTGTCATACACGTCCATCTCGTTGAGGGGCAGCGTGGCCTGGCCAAGGAACTCATCGATGCCCAGGTTGTTTCTGTGCAGGCAGGTGAGCGTTAGCTCAGCCCTATTGCCCTGATCGGGAATTTTGCTATAAAATTTAAATAATTTTAATAGTGGCATTGGAAAATGTCTGAAATGTCCAGCTTACAGCTCACACTCCTCGTTCCAGTTGACATTGGTCTCGGCCTTGTCCTTGACGGATGTCTGATACTTCTCCTTGCCCAAAGCAATGGTGACGAAGCAGTTGTTGGTGCCATTCTTGCCCTTGGTCAGCAGACCACGCGCCCGTTGCACTGTAAAGGGAGAAGATAGGGTTTAAAAATAGCAGTTACTATCAACATAAAGTTGTGTGGAAGCAGAAATAATTTCAGAAGAGCTTAGTAATGCGTCTGGAGAGGAAAAAGTGCTCTTCATCGTGTTAAAAATATCTTCAACTTGATAAATCAATATTTATATGGGAAAATATTAAGTTTAACGTTAATTTTAAACTTTGATACATTAATATTTTTATGGGAAAATATTTAATTTGACATTAAACAAGCAAGGAAGATAACTTTGGGTTGTATATCCTTAAAAGGCCGAGTTTATGATCAATCATGAATATAAAATATTTAATAATTAATTTTAAATATTTATTTAATATTTTTTTATTTTAAATATTTTATAATTAATAAAAAAATATTAAATAAATATTTAATAATTAATTAAAAATATTTAATAATATTAAAATAAAAAAATATTTAATAAATATTTAATAATTAACTTAAAATATTTATAAAATAGTTTAAATTAATTATTAAATATTTGTTAAATATTTACAATAAATTATTAAATATTTTTAATAAATTGTAAATATTTTTATATGATAATTTTTTTGATAAAACAAAGTTTAAAAATTCCATAACTAAGTCAAAAAAGCTTTAATTTTAAATTGGAAAACAGTTTTGTGTTAGTTTTTATAAGGTTAATAAATCTGCATAATGAATTTTACATTTAAAAAAATTACATTTTTTTTCGATTTTTGAGAATTTTGACGATGTAACCCCTTATCATATTTTCAAAAAAAAAAAAAAAAAAATTCAAAATTTTATTTTCTTTCCAACATGGCTAGAAAGACTCGCCTGTTGATGCTGATCAAGAATATATATGACTTATGGGGTCGGAAATGGCTCCTTCATTGATTTATAAGCTTTTGACTAAAATTATAATACCCTGTATTAAATATGTTTTGGGAGATATATTCATAAATATTATTAAAAAATAACCAAAAATTAAATGTTATTGATCGATTTATTGCTCATTTTTACATCACAACATTATATTATCGATTTATATACCGATTGTCATGACAAATTTGTGTAAAAGTATCGATCTATCCATATTTTCTGCTATACCTAGTACTAAGATTTTAAGATAATGAGTTCATTTTATCAAAGACATAGAGACATCAAAGATATATACGAGTAGTACACATGCATAAATGTATCTGGAGGAGTCGGCCGGCTGGAAACAATGCTGGGACTGGCTTTGGAAATGGGATTTATGCTAAAGTTTGGGTTTAAACTTGACTCTTGGGAGAGAGAGAGAGCCCGGCCCGAATTGCGGCTTGTGTGTGCGGTTGCGTGGTGGCAGTTGGCGTGGCGGCTTTCATATCTGCGCCGGATGCTTTTGTCGGGCTCGAGGTCACGAGGCGCTCGAGTGAAACTACTCGAAATTTGCTTTTGGGTCCCCGCGAATTTGGCAAGTGATTCACTCGACCGAGTGGCGACAATCGCTGGCTTAGATTTGTGCTTTTTTTTCTGTGCTGCTTTTCGTTTTCTGTTTTCGGTTATTTATTTTTATTTATATTTTTTTTAGATTTAATTTTCGCAGCGACCTCGGTGCCGGGCTCTGATTCCAGCACAGCTGCCGGAAATGGATATGGAAATGGGAATGGAAGTGACACCCGAAGACGGGGCACAGAAATTAAGTCATTGCAAACGAAAACGATCTATTTTTGGGCTCACTCCCGGGGCCGGTCTCGGTCTCATTCCCTGGGCATGGAGGTAGGAGTTCATTCCACCCACCCACCACCAGATGCGGGAAAGAAGGCTTCCCTTCCCGGTTCGATTTGATTATTCAAGTGTGAGATGGTGCATGCCAGGCAGCACTTGCTCAATCCGGGGTTTCGTAATGCCAAAAAAAAAAATAAAGTGAAAAAAGCTGGCAAGGCAGAAGCAATTACCGGGCATAAACAATACCGGGCACAAAAAGTGAAAAGCGGTGTCAACGAAAGGCGGTGAAAATCGACCAAGGGGAAGGGGAGATAAGAGAAAGAAAAGCGGGAAAACACACACAGAGGCAGCTAGCTGCAGATTTCTGCATATTTTTCGGTCTCAGTTTCATTTTCCTTTGGTTTTCCTCGCGCGGGGTGGGCGTCTCATAATTATTATCGCATTAACAGTTTTTTTTTTTCGTTTTTTTTTGTATTTTTCCCGCCTGCCTTTAAGCCAATTTGGGAAGTTTGCTGCCGCTTTTTTCCCGCTGCTGCTTCTCCACGTTTCTTTCCCGTTTTTCTACCATTTTACTGTCCCCATAATTGAGGCTAAAGACGGGTTTAAAGCCCAAAGCTAATATCGATGATCCAGCTCTAGCCTGACCTCTTCCACCTGCTCATCCCAACCCATCCCCCTCCCATCTCATCTCCACTCGTCGCTTTGCCTGGGCTTTTCTTTGGCTAATGAATGCGATCGATGGGAAGATGGATGGCTCCAAGTGCCTGGCTGTCAATGACCCGCCCGGCAATTTCGTGCAGCGGTTCAGCGGACGACGACGAGAGACATGCAGATCGATGGATGGATGGACTCCTCCGTATGCCCTGCAAATTCCCTTACCTTTCCAAAAAAAAATATATATATCTATATTTGTGTGTGTGTGTGTCTGTGCCTGCATGGAGGGGCGCCCCAAAAATAGAAATGCCAAATGCTAAATGGCAAAAGGCAAGAAGAAACATGGCAAGCAGCGCCAAAAACATAACCAAAAAACTACAAAAAAATAAAAAACTAAACAATACTGGCCAAAAAGAGAGGCATACGGGAGAGGGGTGGTTGTAAAGGTAGAGGGGGCGGTGATCCACCAACGGCGAAACCGTTAAGTTGGTCCGCTTTTATGGCCGCCTCTCAAAACTAATGGCACGCACAGTGGAGCAAAATCCTGTACTCACTGAAAACTTATTGCCAAGTCTGCAGTTAAACTTAACAGGCACTTTAGCTGACTGTTAAGTTTAATTTAATTAAGTGTTTGAATGTTCAAAAGAGATTATAAAGCTCAAATCAAAATCTTGTGCCTGATAGAATTTGCGTTAAACTTAACCACCGGTTAGCAGGTACCTATAAATCCAAGGTAAAATGATAAATGAACTCTGAATAACTCGGACAAATATTTGTTTTAATCTACATAAGCTTTTCTTTCCAATTAAATTATAGTTAAGTTCCTCACGTTAAAAGTTTATCTATCCAAAATCTCTTAACTGAAGTAATTTTTCTCAAAATTGTATGTCAGATCCCACTGTACTGAATAGTTGCGCATTCGTCATTTCGTTTTTTTGGGGTAAAAGGGAAGCGATCTGAGCAGAGAGAGGCGATAAAATCACTGCCAAAACAGAAGCCCAACACACTCTCAAACACTTTTTGCACTTTTCCCATTTCAATTTCGATTCAATCACGTGCTGAATGGCCCAGGGGAGGTGGGGGATCTAATTGAGGGTTTGTCGAGAGCAAACAGAAGCTGTCAGGAGGGCGTCGCACAGACAAGGTGATTCAATGGCATAAAGGCCCTACCTACCATACCATAACAAACTTGAGCAATTATCTATAACAACATTTAGCGACGACAGTAAAAAGCCCATCCATATCTTGGGCCAGTTAAGGATCGGCGGGATTGATTACTCAGCAATGTTTTGAGCTCCAGAGCCGCCAGGTGAGTCACCTGTTATAAACGACAAGCTCTCGTGGCCCAAATAAGAAGCCGAAAATAACGGTTATTGTTTGCGATACCCAAAAAGAGAAATTTCTTTGTTAGTAGTGAGCGTACACATTCAGTGGCAATCGAACTGTTTATTGAGGCTGATCAGATTCTAAAGGGACTTGTATTATTATTTTAAGCAATTAATAGTTCTCTAAAAGCTACAAGAGACTTGCTTTAACTTTCTAGATTCACTTTTTTGACCCTTTATGCAGGTTAAGTTTAGAACCAAGACAACTCTTCTTTAGTCTTAGCCTTTTACCAGAGTTGTGTGTCATGTAGGCAGTACTTGGACGTTGAATGATTCAATCTCCACCCAGTTAACACTGCTAGTTTACTGTCAATTATAGCTAAAAGCTTCCACAAATAATAGAGAAAACGAGTGGAGACAAACGACCGGCTGACTGCACCTTTATTTTCCGTTTTATGTGACCCCAGACGGTAACAATAGAATGAGCAGCAAGCAGCAGCAGCAGCAACAACAGCCACATCAATCGACGACTGTTGTCGCATTTTGTTGACCTTTTTGGCTTGTGTGTGTGTTTTTAATATAAACTATAGCTGTGTGTGAGGTCAACTCTGGGGTTAATTAATTTCAATGAAATCATTTCCCAGTTGCCTGCCTGCCTGCCTTTCCGGCGATGCAACGCATCAAATTCAACCGCAGGTGAACCACAAAAAATCCTCATTTTCCAGGGAGTAAAAGAAGATCACCAGTCACGGGGGAAAGAGGTAAGAGCTAGGAGATATTCGTAACCCTTAACAAAAGACCCCATTGCAGCAGTATCATAAAAGAGCTAGCTAGCTTCTTATAATGCCAGAGTGGAATTCCCAGCACGCACTTTTCGAGACTCGATTTCTTCGTGTTCCACTTTTTGTTCTGCTTTTCGGGGGCGTGGCAGAGAGTGCGCCCCGAGGCCATTGCTCCTTGGGGCATCCAACCACGCATGCTAATGAGCCACTTGCTGCCCCATTTTCGACTCATTTCCCAATGGATACAAACGAGAAACTGAAGCTACTAAGAGATGTCTTAATCGAGAGAGTAAATGCTTCAAGGGGGGGGCCAGGGATCAGAGATCAGAAATCACAAATCAAAGATCAGAGTTCATAGATCAGCTATCAAAGGCAGACACAGCACGTGCTTTAAAGAGAGTTCAAACTGGGCCAGCTTTATAGCCGCAAATCCCGTTTGATGAAAAGCATTAGCCACAATTAAAGCGGCAACTGCAACATCTAGCCATGTTATGTGCGCAGAGATCGTGCGAAAATGCAATATATATATGTACGTATATAGTAAACGGTCTATCAATGCATCCCCAACAGCCACAATCCACCACCACCAACTATCCCACAGCGGATCATTTTATTGTTATGCATAAACAATTTCTTTCTTGCGCTCATTGAACCCACAACGAAGCCGTGCGATTTTGAAATGGAAAACAGCAGAAGAAGCAGCCAAAGCAGAGTTTTTCCCAAATGAAAGGCAATTAGCATTGGGAGGGGAAGGGGAAGGGTAAGGCCTTCCCTGCTGCTGCTACTGCTTCTTCTGTATATCAAGGCATGTTTTGAATATAAATGCCAAAAAGAATCCCAGGCCTCCACACACCATGAATATTCAGCAGGGTTGGCCAGTTGGAGGAGGAACACAGGCAGCACCAGCATGTGGCAAGAATGTGGCCAGCGCACAACTGGAACTGGAAAATAATCAATTGCAGAGGGGATAGAGAGAAAGAGCCACAATCCGAGTTCCAGACGAAAGATCAAATCCAATGCCAGACCTGTTTTCTCCGTTTCGTTTCGGTTCGCTTCTATTCCATTCTGATGCCCAGCTGCTTCTCTCTCGTCTCCCCATCACCCAAGTCCCAAGTCCGCACTCATCGGCTAAATGGGTCGGGCAATGGAACGTAACTGTTTCGCATAAGTGCATCGACAGCGCCGCATTAAAACGGTCCCAAACAGTCGGACGCAGCAGCGAGTTGTTGTTGGTGCTAGTAGCTGGTAGTTGGAGCAAGAGACACCTGCCTGGTAATCTCAAGACACATGACCAAAGTGCATACGGTTTTAAGGTCTTATCGCACTGATTTCCCTAGTTTTTGATACTCAAAACAATGTGCAAAATGTAGTAGGTGTACATCTGTTTAGCTTTATTTACTTTCTTTTATTTTCGTTACAAAACTTTCTTAAGAAATAAGTTGTATTAGCTATCCGATTAATGTGAAATTTGTTATATGGTTAGATTTTACATTATCTTTTCATACAATTGAGTAATATAACTCTTTAAATTCCTGCTCTCCCTATTAGTAATACTTCTCCTTTAGTCAATAAGAGTAATACGATCTTGTTATTGCTAAAGAATTCAATGAATCAACCTAGAATTTAGATTGTTTATAAATATTTCCAGGATTTCACATAACTCAAATTTCCTAAGCTTGACTTGAATAGAATATTCTAGGCATGATAGAATTATACAAGGTAGTCCACTCGGCAAAATCATAGTCCCCTGATGTAAGTGCGAGTGAAATAGCATTCAATAGTTAGTGTGAGTGAAATGGCAACATAGTGCTTCGATTAACCCGTACACGGTGCATGGGGCTAAAAGTTTCCTTAGTTATGACAAGAGTTGTATTGTTTATAATTTTATATTTATAAGTTTTGAATTTGACATAATTCTTTGTTTTTGTTGTTTAACAGCCATTCTCTTGTTTAAGCTCTTAATTCCAAAGTATATGCGTATCTTAAAATAAATAATAAATAATAATACATATAATAAAATAATAAATATAAATTCGAGTTGATTTATTTTGTTTTTAAATGTCGATGATGGTTTCATCAGACCTCCATGCGAAACCTCATCTACGTATGTAAATGTAATTTTTTTCTTGGCCACTTAAGGGTTAAAGCTCTGAAAAAAAAAAACCGTCCACACACAACCTTTCAGTTCGACAAGCAGGCCATGCACTGACATTAATGGACCAAAACCCGAACGACTTCGGCAGTCGAGTGGACTACCTTGTATAATTCTATCATGATTCTAGGTATTATATACATTGTTTATAACAATTTCTTGAGCTTCAAATTCTCAAGGAAATTTCATTCAATTACGTACTTACAGGGTGCTTATGTACAGGGTGTTTACAGTATCAATAATTCCTTTTTATGTGTGTGTGTGTGTGTGTGTGTGTGCAATGCAACCGCATTAAAATGTGTTGCAAAACCAAACAAAAACTAAAACCCCAAAGCTAAAAACCAAAAACCAAAACCGAAATGTAAATGAAAAGGAAAATTCATTTGTTTGTTTGTTTGGTTTGCTTGAATGGCCGCATTTGCAGCGCATTTTCATTGCACAATTTCCCGCCGTGGAATTTTCAGGTGTGTCTGCCTGCGTGTGAGTTAGTGAGTGGCCGCCAAGAATTTACGGCTAAAAATAAGGCACGCAATTGGAAAAACTTCGAAGCGTGGTGTTTGTGGTGGGCTGCCTGCGGAAAAGTTTTCCGAACAACAATACAAAAAGAAGGTGAAATCCAGGTGTTGGCCAGGTAGAGGGAAGGATAGGTGGGGGTGGTGGATGTGATGATCTAACTGCTGCCAATTGCGGCGAAAACAGCTGTTTCCGAAGAGCTTGCGTTCATCTCTCATCAAGTGCAAATATTGACAGCGGCGCGTGCATGAGTGTGTGAGTGTGCGTGTGCGTGTGCTGTCAAAAAGGCAAACAAGGCGAGACGAAAACACGGCGAATTTGGGAGAGTGACAGCGATTTATTTGCTCTTCGCCGTGACGTCAGCGGCTGGCTTTTTTAATCGCTGGAATAAAACAATGTTTTTATTCTGTGTGCTGTGCTGTGCAAATATGCAAAATAAAGCAAGAACAGGGCAATAACGAGCTGAGAATAGCCCAGGGGGAGAGGCACGAGCCGATAACCGGGCAAGTTCAAGGTGGAAAGGCAGAATTTAGCCTATCTATCAAGCCCGTGTTTATCTTCTCTTGGCTTATGTATACTTAAGCAACAATTTGTGACTCATTTGCACTAATACACCTAGAAATGTGCACTTGTAGTTAATTGCTCGATATTTGTTTTCATAATTGCCAACTGGGAAAGAGAGGGAGGGAGGGAGAGAGAGCAAGCTAGAATGGGCTCTTTGTGTTTTGTCACGAATTGCGAATTGTGATTTTGTGTTTTGTGTTCTTTTGATTTCTCATTGACATTCCTGAGCACCGGAGAACGACAATGGAAAACGTAGAAACGTAAACAAGAATGCTATGGGCACTTGGTGGACCTTAAATGGATAATGGAACGCATAGCAAACGCAATTTTCTACCGGTGAGTAATAACAGCCAGCAAACCAAGCTGGCTGTGCGCGAAATAATCTTATCAGACGGAGCATACCAGGCTGATAGGAAAGGCGCAATCACGGAGTACAAGTAAAAAAGAGAGACAGGGGATCTGTGATGATTGCGCGGAGGCGGGGGAGAAAGTGAAATTTCAAAAAAGACCCACGAAAACAACAACAATAGGCAGCAACAAAACAAACGACTTAACTGTTGCCTCTGTCATGACAATATTTTAAGCACACACACACACACGGAGCGCAACCTCAAATGCAACACAAACACACACCTCCACACATACGGACACGGAAAACAAGTTTAATTTTTAATGCGATTTATTTGCCATACTAATACCAATGCCCCAGCCGGAGAGGCCGCCACAAAAAGATCTCGCTAACGGGTGTCCCGTGTCGCCCCCACTCACCCGTTACACTGCAGTGCGTTGGACTCCACATGTCACCCTGTATCCCTCGGATCCTCTGTCTTGCTCTCTCGCAGGTCCTCGCTTCCTGGCTTGGCTTTGGCTGTCTCGCACTTTCCCTTTTTGGACGATGATTTTGTTAGAATATCCTCAATTCGGCTGCTGTTCAGTGAGTTTTTTAACGCCGCGCACTCTGTGTATATTCCGTTTAGATCACGCGCGCCGTGTAATGTAGTCGCTCGAAGATTGTATTAAAAAAAAAAAAAGAGAAAGGCGGAGCGACGCGAGCCGTCTTCTTGTGAATATTTCGCCAGAGTGACCGTTTGGCGGAGCTGCAGAATAGTCGACGGAATAAATGGAATCCACACAATCGATGGTGCACAAAACAATCGATGGTATCGATAGTACAATCATCAGTCTTTGTTTACTTTTTTTTAACAAAAAAAAAAAGAGTCATTTCGTGTTTTTGTTTCAAACAAATTGTATGTTTTTGACTTGCCCATCATGAGCTGCTTTGGCTGCAGCCGCAAATATGGCCTATTCTGCAAAGAAGCAAGTATCCCCCGTAGTTATTGAGTTCTTAATTAATCTCAAAACCACCCCGTAGTATGGGTGCCCAAACTGCGGCTACTCCTTCTGCGCCAAGTGCCTGAAGCGACCCATGCCCGTGCCCCGGCACGCCGGCAAGGTCCTCAATGTCTGCCTCATCTGCTACGACAAGTTGTCCAAGCTGCAGGCCAGCGCCGATGCCGAGAAGGTGGTGGACTGCGACGCCCTGCCCGGCGAGTTGGTCACCAAGTTCCATCTAGCCCCGCCGCCCAAGTCCACCTCACCCACAGATGGACTCAATGCGGCGGCCGATGCACTCCTCGAGTAAGTAAAGACCCTTAAGCTCTAGTTCTCCTGGCACTGTAAGTCCAAACTGTGTGCAGCAAGTGTCTACCGGCTGAGGATCTGGCTGAGGTGCTGGTCCCCATGAATGGAGCTAGTCCTTCTACATCCGCAGCGAAAGCCAAGAACCATGAGGAGGACATAGACGAGAATCTGGATAGTGAAATATCCAAGAGGATTCAGAATCTGAAGCGTGTGGATGCCACGGACGATGAGATACGCGCTCGCCTGGCCAATCTGAGTGGCATGCCCCACCAAAGGCAGTATGACAAGAAGGACCTGCTGCTCTCCACAGACCAAAGAAACGACCAGGAGAAGATCAGGGATCTCCTTGAGCAGTTTATGGGCGAATCGGAGCTGGATCAGCGTGTGGGCGAGCAAAGGGACGAGGCCATTTCGGATATTGAGCGGCGTCTGAGGGCACTTCGCGATGCTCCAATCGATGCTGTGGGAGGGGGCAACACCAACATAAGCACGCCCAGCGACAATGAAGAGGATGAGAACGATGAGACAATTCTGCAAAATACAGTTAAGAAGGTAGAGTTACCTTCTGTATTTATCTTTATAAATTTCTAATTATTTCCTCTTTAAAAAAAAAACCAGTACTTGGAGGAAGCTAAGTTGCCCAGCGTGGCAGAGGCGGAACTCAATAGCCAGCTTCCCAGCAACAGCGAAGGAGGAGAGGAGCTCCCCTGGTGCAATATCTGCAACGAGGATGCCATCTTCCGTTGCCAGGGCTGTGATGGCGAACTGTTTTGCGGTCAATGCTTCAGGGAGTGCCACGACGACGACGAGGAGTATCGTTCGCATGTCAAGGTAAAATACAGTGCCCCGCCCAAGTTCAAGGAGAATCACTTTTAAATTCCGTCTCCGAGCTTTGCTCAGCTTGTTAATGTTTTTATTTAAGGCAATTCTCAAGTAAAAGAAAACCTATTATAAGCCATAAAGGTAGTTGTTTATTTAAACCCAGAACTAAGGGTTGTTTTAGGCTAAAAGTTCTTGTAGAACTTGTGCCTTCTCTGTTGTATTTGTGCAGTGAGCATACAGCCTTCTCTTTTTACAACTTTTGCTTAAGGAAATGTGGGTTTATATCACCTTTTATATATCTAAAATAAGGAGAATACATCTGCCTTTACTCTCTGCACTCTCCCTTTATTTTATCCACATAAATGGGTAACAGATGCTCCGCCGAGTATGGTGCAAAGGAGAACATCTCAAAAAACTTATCACGACGCTTGCAAAATACACTTGGATTTCGGCACAAGTTGGCCAGCATTTTGATCAGGGATTTGCCTGTGTTGTATAGGTTTTCTTTGGGATAGATCTCCGGGTAAACCAGCTTGTTTGGGGCAATGGGATAGCAGCCACAGTAGGTGGCCTCCAGCATGGCCACGCCAAAGAACTCATGGTCAGCGGTAGAGATGACAATGTCGCCGGTGAGCATAGTCTTTACATAATCCTCGCGGGACAAAGCCCCAAAGCTGATGAGCTTGGCGCCCAGCTTTTCCTTGAGATGCTCAAAGGCCTGGGGTACCGTTTGGTAGCTCTCACCGCAAATGGTGACCTTAAAGTCCACTTGGCGATCGTTTAGCTCGTTGAGTACTTGGGCCAGCAGCTCGGGATTCTTGTCGTGCTCCCAGCGATGGGGCCAAACCAGATGCAGGCATTCCGACTGAAGGGGGTTCTCCAGCCTCCTGGGGAAGTCCTTGAACTTGATGGGAAAGTATAGAACCTCGCATTTAGGCTCCACTTTCTCGCGAATATTCTTTATACGAAAATCAGGCTGGATGTTCAGGAAAGTCTGAAGATTGTCCAGGAATGAGGTGCGATTGAAGTGAGAATTGAAGAGCACAGTGTCGGCCACAAGACTGAAAAGGTGAAGGTAAATTTGGGAACTCCATGAAAGCAAAACAGCAGCCCTTACCAGGTGAGTATCTCATTGAGTCCATATTGACAATCCCGGGTCTTCACCTCACGCACGGGATAAATGAGCTGATTCTCGTGAAAGTACACAATCTTCCGGCATTTGCCCAGATCAGGACGCAGGCCAACCAGCTCGGCCAGGCTGAGCACGGAGCTGGTGAAGAGCACCGTGTACTGGTGATCCAAAGGGATCAACTGGGAGAAGTAGAGGGCGGAGGTGCGGGCCCGCCAGTGCCATTTCTTGGCGGGTAGGCTGTAGAAATCATAATGGGCTGGTTGAAGACCTGTAGAGGCGAGGAATTCAAACATTAAGCCGGCTGCCGGGCAGGAGAAACCACATTCAGGCCACTTACAATCGATAATGGCGCTAATCAGCTGCTTGTGGCTGCCGCCGTAGAAAGGCTCAATGACCAGAACATGCGGCTGGGCAGACATATGTCTATAAATCTATAATTTAATTAATTAAATGTAATTTTTAATAATAATTTATCGATAAATCGATAAGAACACTCTGTTTTTAACAGCTGTTCCAGCAGCGTGTTTGGGTATTTTCCGATAAGCAAGCTGGTCACACTAAGCTTTGATTACATTATATAAAATAAGTAGAAATAGCATGATTCGTACTGCTATTTCTCAATTAATGGGCCTCAGGTTAGATTTAATAACACCCGCTTATAGTACACACAAGAATCTACAATAATTTACTATTTGTTACAGGCCCAGCGGTGGCCTGCTCACCCAGGTCCGCGACAAGGGCCACCTGAGCCGGCCCCGGCTTCGGAATCCCCAATGGTTTCTCCGCAAGGAAGTCACCGTAAGTAGCTCCATCGCCAAAAAGGTGACTTAAAATACCCACTAGTTGACATTCCCAACCTTTGCCTCAGAATCGCGGCGACCTGGTCACAGCAGAGAATAAGCATTTCATCAACGATCTGGTCCACGAGGGCTTTGGAGCTCCAGCGCTCATCAAAGGTGTCCAGACATACGAGCAGAACCTGATCAAGACGCGGGATCTGGCGACGCCTCCGCAAACATGGACCCCACAGATCAGGCGCTGCGGCGTGATAGCCCGCAAGATTGGCCAGTATCCGTTGTGGTTGAAGAACGGCGAGCGGATACGGACCACGCTGCTGCAGATTGTGGACAACCATGTGATCAAGTACATACCGCCGGAGGAGTATGTACCCAAACCGTTGCCCGGACAACGAGATTCTGCGGCAAACCACAAGCGTGGCGTCCTTATCGTTGGCTCTGAGAGCACCAATCCCGTGCAGCTGACCAAGGAGTACTCGGGAATCTTTAAGGACTCGGGTGTAGTGCCCAAGAAGAACCTGGCCCGGTTCTTTGTTTCCCCCGAGGCAGCTTTGGTGCCCGGCACGCCCCTCAATGCGAGTCACTTCCGTGTGGGCGACTTTGTGGATGTTCGCGGTAAAACGTGAGTATCGCTGCATAGATTCTATCCCGGATAGATCCTAATCTTGCCTTATTCCATCCCCCCTAAAAGCGTTGACCATGGCTTCCAGGGCGTGGTGAAGCGACACGGCTTCAAGGGCATGCCCGCCTCCCACGGCGTCACCAAGACCCATCGTCGTGCCGGTAATATTGGCGGCGGTGGTGAAAAGGGTCGCGTCTGGCCAGGCACAAAGATGCCGGGACACATGGGCAACCGGTGGCGTGTGATCAGGGGCCTGCGTATCTGGCGCATCAACTCGAAATACAATGTCATGTGGGTGCAGGGCAGCGCAGTGGCCGGTCCCACCAATGGCCTGGTCTACATCTACGACACAATCCTGCCGCTGCGCAAGAACCAGGAGGCGCCGCCCTTTCCCACGTCCTACGAGGACTCCAGCGAGGATGTGTGGTACGAGAAGGTGCACAATTTCAAGGACGAGTCCATAATATATGAAAAGGAGTAGTTGCAACACCTAAAGTATCGCTAAAACGTATGGTTTTTTTTTTTACCGAAACAAATAAATGTGGAAATGTTAATGATGGAACTGAAAATGGTTTTAAAAGTGGCAAAACTAATTAACTAAATTTTTTGAAACCACGCGCCCAGGACTTAACAGTGACGGCGATAACAGTGATATCGAAATGGAGAAATAGGTGAGTATTTATAAAATTAAAGAATAAATGCACTCGAATTTTCTTGTTTATTCCTTTTTTATTAAAGTTATTTTGATTTTTCTTTAAAATTATTAATTTTAGACCTCGTAAAAAGTTTAACAGAAGAGTGTTGTCTAATTGGGCAGTTAACATAGTGTTAACAGCGATATATCGCATATCGATAGTATCTATGAAAATCAATCAGCTTTTGAAAACATCGATAGGCCGATAGTGACGTCTCATCGGGGTTGTGGCTATCGGTAGAGCTGGGAAACTATCGATAGTGACACCATTCGATATTTTCGATGTTTTGAAAACGAAAATTCGATACTATCGATAGTATCGTTTTTTTACGATTCTTTTTGCAAATTAAAGTTATAGCAATTTCAAATAGAATTATAATACTATTCAATATGTTTTGACTAAGTAATTAACATAAATATTCTATCCAAGCAACTTTGCACAAATAAAATTGTATTACCATTGCTAAACATACGCTTAGACTCTGAAGACGTGGCGTAGACGCACCCTTTCTTTTGAGATTCAGTTAATATTTTTCACCACCAACTCCAATTTAAGTTAATTTAGAATACATTTTTATTATAAAAAAAAAAAATATATATATACATATATATATATATTTGTTTGCATTTTTCTTACTAAATTTCAGCAACAAAGCAGAGATATAAAAATAGTCCCGTACTATCGATAGTGATAAAAAACTATCGATGGTGGCTCAAAAAAAGGAAAAAGTCGATACCTCGATAGTACCATCGATAGTTTCCCAGCTCTAGCTATCGGTACGGAAGAAAATTGTGTCCTTAAAATTTACAAAATTTGTTATGTTCATGGCTTTTTTGTCTTATTAATGTAAACGTAAACGAAATGTAAAGGTGTGGTTTTTTGTTTGGTGACCTGTGATCTATAGATGCAGTCCAGCATTGCCCAATCCATCATCGTTTGTGGAAAATGTATGATTCAGTTTTTATTTGTTGCCTTCTGCCGACAGAGCAGAGAGTGAGACGAAGAAGGAGACAAAGTCGGTGGGGCTGAAGACGGAGAACGGAGAACGGAGAACCAAGAAGTAGGAGGTGTGCCGTGCCTGCGCTCCAGAGGAATATACATATGTGCGGCTCTGTGTGGGTGATTCATGGCCTAAGCCCACGACGGCGACGAGCAGAGTTTTAATTTTTCGCCTGTTTATCGTATCGTCTATGTGTATGCCTTCGGCTTTGTGTGTCTGTGTGAATAGCCGAAGCGGCCCCCGGTGGCAGAGGGCTGAGAGCTGGGCTCCCAGCATCTTGTGCGTGTGCGTGTGTGACTGTGTGTGAGGGTGTGCGTATGTAACCCCCGTTTTGTGATGTACGACCAGGGTGGGTGGTGGTCTCTTCGTGGTCCGCTTACCGAAACCGGTGCATACCGCAAATAAATATAAACAAATGTTTATCAATTAGCACCCCGGCTCCCTACACGAATCGAAAGGGAGTGACTGCGAAGTGCGCTCTATTAAATTACAAATCCTCCTGCTCTTCCCACTCCCCCCTCTCTCTCTGGTTGGTGCTACTCTTTTGTTATATTTAGCGGTGCCACTTCAGAGCTGTCAACATTCAACCGACACTCCTTCACTTCATGCGGGTCTCTTCTTTGTCTAACCCGTGTGACAGCTGGAGGGGACGGAGTCGGGAGCCAAGAGTCCAGTCCCAAAAATGTTGCATTTGCACTTTTCCTTTAGCCTGAATTTTGAGGTGTGGTCCCGGGGAGATTGTAAGTTGTTCGATTTATAAACAACCTTTGAATTGGAATTAAGAAACATTTGTTTGCTTAAAGTTATAAACTAAAGCTCTAAATGTTTATATTTGTTCTTTGTTTTTCTCTTTCTGCCTTACTGACTCGCTTATCTTGAAAAGACAACAAAGTGGGTTCCCACATCAAGTTTAATGCTCCCTTGAAAGCCCTAAGATTAGGTTTGTCAATAGAATTTACACAAGAAGATATTTATTTACAACTATTAAACAATTTGTACTTTCTTCTTCATCTTAAATGTTTTGTTATTCAAATTCTGTAAACAATATTTATATTAATTTTATTTTTATATATTATTTCTCAACCCAAAACAGTCCTCCTCCGTAACCCCAAATGTAATCAAAAGAGAGCCTGCCATCATTCCCTCAAATAAACGCAAGCCCATCCTTGCTTTAAGCGAAGCTTAGACGATCCAGAGATCCCCTAGGATTCAGCATTTCAGCATTTAGCCGGCGCTTGGGAGCATATGGCGGATCTAATGCATTTGGGCAATGTAGACGTTGTCATTCAGGATCAACCAGGATCGCCAACGGATGATGCTAACCTGGCAGCCTTGGGCGGCATGAGTGGCTTGGGCGTTATGATGGCCGGCGGTGGCATTGATTTGGCTGATTTGGCACAGGAATTGGATCAGGATGAGTTTGATGGACCCCACATGCTGAATGGTAAGCAAGAAGGCTGGCTACTCCTGAGAATCCTTGAGATTATGGGTGAAACTCTTGCAGGGGAACGTCCAGCCATTATTGCGCCGCCGGAGAGCGAGTGGTACCATGGACGACTTGATCGTTACTCTGCTGAATCCCGTCTCCGGGGAAGCAGTAAATTGGGCAGCTATTTGGGTGAGTTATCCTGTTGTTGAATATTATATTTTTTACACCTATACTAAAATGGTGGCCACAGTTAGGGAGAGTGACCGCAAGCCTGGCTCCTATGTCCTAAGCTATTATGGACGCACTGGGATTAATCATTTCCGGTGAGTACTTACTCCTTATTTTATATAAACTATATACTTCTCTTCCTTAGGATCACTGCCGTTTGTGGTGACTTCTATATTGGCGGGCGACAGTTCATCTCGCTGAGCGATCTCGTCGGCTATTATACCTCATGCAGCGATTTGCTGAAGCGCGAACGTCTAGTCATACCCGTTGCACCGCCGGAGCCAGTTAATGACAAGAAGCGTGTGGTTGCCATCCTGCCTTACACCAAAATGCCCGAAACGGATGAGTTGAGCTTCCAGAAGGGCGATATATTCTTTGTGCACAATGACATGGGCGATGGCTGGCTCTGGGTAACAGCCCATCGTACTGGCGAGCAGGGAATGATATTTCGTGAGCTGGTGGATGATCTGGATGTGTCCATCGATCCGAATACCGTGTTTCCCTGGTTTCATCCGAATTGTACAAAGAATGAGGCCGTCGATATGCTGGTTAAAGGTAAGAGAAGTCGTTTTCTTCAATAAGTTTATTTATTTATTAATAATATGCGATAAAACATTTACATTTTTTAGAATCGATCTTTATTTTATACCTATATTTTCTACTTTCTTTTTCCCCCTCCTTGCAGCTGGCCCTGGCAGCTTCCTGG